CCAGTAACCTCGAGAATCGCATGTGCAGTGCATGAACTATAAAAAGTACCTGTTCTCGTATAAAACAAAATGGGTTTAATCCTAGTATACGGTACCATGAAGGTTAGAATCAAAGAATATGTATTGTAAAGAAGGATGCGCGATATATCTGTCGCCAAAGCTCGAAACCGGTGTCGAAGTTCGAAGGTCACGTTATCAAGAGTTCATAAAATGAATATCGTTTAAAATTTCTTTAAACTCTAAAATAAAAGAAAATATTTTTTGCCGCAAGTAAATTAATTCATGGATTAGTTATTTTAAGGGAAAAAAAAACTACGAAAATCCGTTTTTAAAATTTATTGCGAAAAATCCAATAAGAAACGTTTTATCAAAGAACGTTTTTTCCCGGATTTTTCGCAATAAATTTTAAAAACTGATTTTCGTAGTTTTCTTTTTTGTCAAAGAACGTTTCTTCTTAACACGTGTTTCTCAATTTCCTGTACACATCGCAGAGAGGGAAATTCTGGCCGCCAGGTTCCGTCGCCAAATCCCTTGACAAATTTTCCCTCCGCTTTCTAGCGGCGTAATAGCATTTACTTGTATGGAACCTTTTCTTCTTTACGTAGTAGACGTTCTTTGGTTAGAATAATCTCCATGTGTGGTAGAGCGGGATTTGGCCACAATTTTCAAAAACGTGCGAAGGCCGTACTGTATAGTACTAGGATTTTACCGCAAAATCTTTTCTAAACCTTTTTTTTTTCTTTTCTTTCTAATAAATACCTTGTCATTTTGCAGTAGAATAAAAAGTATAGTAATATGACTGAGACTCAATATTTTATAGTAATCAGTCATCTAGGCTAACCATGTAATATAACTAGTATATTCGCTAAAATATCGTTGATTATTCTAATTCAATTTTTAAGTAATTATCTTTATTTTTATGTTATTCATATCATTTAATGTTGCTTCTTCCCTCTAAATTTATTTATCATTAGTAAATAATATTTCCAAATTTCAGGAAATTTTCTCTGGCACAATCCTGAAATTAATTCTAGCAGTATGATGACATACCATCACGAAATTTAATGCACATATTTTTTCCTTATGTATGTTGCGAAATAAATATAAAATACCTCAATTTATTAAAAAAATATTAAATAGATTTCTTTCTTTTGTTTAGCTGCAGAATGTTTGCACAAAAAGCCTTATTTTATTCCAAATTGGGCAGATTCTAATCTCAATCTTCATTGGAGAAAACAACTCCTATTATAATTATATTTGTATTTTCAAATGTTAAGGTGCCTTTTAAGAAGACACCTCACACAAATTAAATTTACCTAAAATCTAACCTAACTATTTAGCATTGTGTTGTGATTTATAAGAACCGGATTAGCCTCGTTTTAAACTGGTGATGATAATGAGTAATAATTAAATAAAATGTACAATTGTTATCCAATGTATATATCTTAAATTTTATTGCGTTTCTTAAGTGGAAAAGTAAACAAAGTGTACCAAGAATAATTAAGAATAAATATCCTCTGGGATTTATTGAATAATTAAGTGAATTTGCTACACAATACAAGTAATACCATAATTAATACAGTCAAAAGTCGTTAATTCGGACACCCATAATCAGGAATGATCTATAATCCGGACCTCAAAGCTACAAACTTACTGCACATGCGCGTAAGACCTTTACGGCTGCGAATATGCGTGTGCGCATGCACATAATACGGCTGCGAATATGCGTGTGCGCATGCGCGTTCAATGTATAACAGACGGTTATTAGTAAAAATTATCTAATTCAGTTAATGTTGCAGATTGCATTGTTCCTTAATCTTCAAATTGGATCCGGCTTATTATTTTTTGCAGACTGTTAGAGCAATTTTATAAAAGTAAGCTTGAACTTTCGATTATGTCAAATAGAATTTCCAATATATATTTACTAATATGTAAAGGATCTACAAAGCGAAAGTATGTTTCGAAGTCCATTAAACAAAAAGTGGAATTGCTGCAAAAAATGGATAAAGGCATATTCTTCGTTTCTCTAACCATTCCGAAATCTGTTTATCAATTTCACGGTGCTCTGTGGTGCGCAATGAATTGGAAGTTGATCTGTCAGCACTATCCTTATCTTCAGCGCAGATGTTTTTATTTTATTTGGCTTATAATTCCTTATTAAATGTAGTATTTCATCTCGATGTACTCCGTTTTTGATATGATTTAAATCAAATTCCTCGTCATTATAATTTGCTTCCAATAGTGAAGAAAGTGACACAGAGGTTATTGAAAACGAAAAAATTTTGATTCACAAATTAGTCGGTATTCTCGACATAGCAATTATAGGACTTGAACAGCGGAACTTTGTAACTGAAGAAGAAATGATGTCTGTTTATAGATTTAAAGAGAAAGTATTATCACATAAAACGAAGCAACTTAAACAACTTACATTGAAAGAAATGTTTAATAAAGTAAACAAATAAATATTAAGTTTTTTTTTTTTTTTTTTTTTTTTGTAAATTTGATACCCTTTAGATCATAATTGTTCTTTATTTCATAAATTACCGTTTCATATTTTTAATTTTATAATTTCTGAATGCCATCTTACCAAATTTAAACTGATGATGTATAATCCGGAAAAATCGATAATCTGGAATCGCCAATGTCCCGATGAGTCCGGATTAACGACTTTTGACTGTATACCTCTGAGCACAGCCAACGTACATTATGTGGATAGACTGGAATTTTCTCGAAACATACCTGGAAAAGTCAGGGAATTTAATTGTCCTGTTTGAGTGGCAACCCTGCTATTATGCTAAAACATTTTTTTCAAAATCTTCAATTTCATAAATAGTCATTTCAACCAAAACAGCATTAATAATGTTTATGTTTTTGTATTTGTAATTGAACATTTGCTTATCATCTCCATTTAACTTATTAAAAGCATTTAATGACAAAAGTAAATCATTACATAATTTACCAACGGTTACAGCCGAAAATGTCGTGGGAGAAAATAAAGCAAAGAGAAAAACAATGCAGTTCTGAAACACCATGGTACAAAATATCATCATAGAAAATAAAGCACTTAAAATCTTTGCAGTTTAAAAACATGGTTGTCGAAAATATCATGGTAAAAAATAAAATACCTACAAGTCATCGCATGACAATAACATCATAGACATGCGTTTTTTAGGCTTTAATAATTGTAAATGGATATTCGCATAATGATTTGTGAGCACAAGATGGAAAGAAGGATAATTTTTACTTTCATATTTTTATTAACAGTTTGGGAATCCAATATGATTCCATCCTGTTTCATGCTGAAGCAAAGTGATTTTCTATGGAAAAGGATTGACATATTTGATTTAACTGCATGCAGATGTAGCAGCATTTTTAATTTACCATAGCTTTTTACCAGAGATGATAGTAAATGATAAAGTCAACATATGCAAACTGCCATATTTGGCTGACATTTTTAAAATTTATCAAAGAAAAAATACCACAGTTTTTGATGAAAATATCTTACGTCTTCTTCATAAGAGAAAACTTATGTATTGGCTGGATGTACATAGGAAAGGAAGATATTGATTGCTTTTTGCTTGCAAAAGCTTCTCGAATGAAAATAACATCAAGATTTAGGGAAATTAATAGAAAAGCATTCACCAGCATTTCAGAGTATTGAAATGGTATATGAATAGTATTAAATATTTGAATATTAAAGAATTGCATGTCAAAATCAAAGTTTGTACAAAAGAAATTCAAATGTTGTCTGAGAAAGCAAAATTAGTATTTCTGCCTTCGTGAAATATATATCTTTGTAAAGCTAGATTCTCTATCTATTCAAGTACCAAATAAAATACAAAAGCCACTTAAATGCAGAATTATAGTTATCATGAATTTAACTTAAGATAATTGTGCACAAGATTACAATCACACATATCTCTTTAGACATTTTTTATTACAGTTTATTCCAATTAGTAAAGTTAAATGTTTTCTGTAAGGAATAAAAAAAATTTTTTTTGATAACAAATATTGAAAAAAAAATGTGTTTTGATTGAATTGAATATAATAATTAAACTGGGGGAGCTATGTTTATTGTACAGATCTCTTTTATTGTTGGTATCAATAATCTGTTGTAACGCAAGTGGTTTGATTTATTGAATTTTGAAATAACTTCTTTTTGCATGGCAGCATTTTGACAAGACCATGGACATTGATTGGCAGTTGCATATAAGCTGAGATACTGTAAAATATAAAAAAATAATTTCATTGCAGGGATATTGTGCAGTTGTTCAGATAGATATATCTTTACTTTATATTCCATTACTATATGTTGTTTCTTCCTACCCTAATGCTACTCTTTCCTTTATAAAGTTGCACAGGGTATTATGAGCAACTTGCTGATATGATTTTCATAAAATTGAAATGCAAAAAATAGAAGTGTTTGAAAAATAACTAAAAATCTGTGTTTTAATGTAATAATATTTCATTGATGAGAATTTTGTGGCTAAAGTAATTTTAATTTTTGAAAATTATATTTTGAAATTTGAATTATATTATTAAATACATGTTCTGATTTTTTTAATTGTTATAATAGAGAAATGAAATATAAGAGGTCAAAGATAAGTGATATTTTTACTGTTGCCAATATATATAATAGGCTTTATTTTTGTATACTTTAATCATATTTAAAAAAAAGTTCTGTACTTCATATAGTCATACTAAAATGTGTTTGTAAATACAACTCTTTGAAAAACTAAACAAATGCAATATTTAGGTCTTATATTTCTTTTTCTGTGTAATCAACCTACAAAATGGTGGAATAAATAATTTCTTGCTTAGAAATATATGAGCCCTTATTCTATTGCCTTTTCATTTAATAATTTTAATATAGTACATCGCTTTCTGCACTTTTAATATTTTATTATTTTTTTATTTTATTTTATTTTTTATTTATTTATTTATTTTATTTTATTAGCAGTTCAGTTTAAATAATAGTCATGGTTATATTTTTCTTTTAGTGTTTCAGTAAAAGAACTGCAGAATCTTCTTTATGAAGTTAAAAATGAAGCAAAAATTATTGGATCTGTACATTCTGTGCGACTGTATTATGTTGCCAGAAATATATGTGAATTGTATTGTTGTGTTGTACCTACTTTTCATAAAGATGAAATTGAAAATATACCTCTTCAAACAGGTGAGTGTTATTTATTGGATGAATAAGGTGTTTTCTTGCAGCACTCTGTGACAATATTCAACTTCCCCCCTTTTTTTTTAGCTATATTCCACAATAATTGCATGTATTTAGCACACTGCCTTTGTACTCTTGGTAACCATTACAAGTGTGATCTTACACCAAATATTCCGATGACTTTTATTGACTTGGTGCCAGAAATTCGAAAACTGGGGACAGAAGCTTTCCTTTTTCAAATGAGACATCAAAGACAACAGCTTCTTCAGTTATTAAAAGAACAGAAAGGTAATTAGTAAATTAATTTTACTAGTGATAATATATATAGTGAGATATATTTTATGAGTATTTTTAAAACATAAAGAACACACATTTTGTTTATCCAGTCAATGTAAAAAAATTATCTGAATTTATATTATTATAAAAACCAAATTTGTGAGAATTATATTTCTCATAATATTTTATTAGAAAATTTTGTAATTTTTATATTTTTTATGTGTTTAAATTGCAATAATTTTCATATAAAAATTTTCTGCTATTTAAAGTACCTCACTGTTTAAAAAATAAAAATGTGTGTTTTAATTTTATTCCAATGATTTTAGGGTATTTTTGTTGATTTGTTCTTAAATATGTGTATATAGTATACATGTTTACACATATTAATCACTTGCACATGTCTTAGTATATGTGTTACAGTCTATGCCATTAATAGTTTATTATTAATAATAACCGAATAAAGTAGTTAAAATGAGTAATTAATGAGAATTTATCATATGATCTGGTTGTTAATAATTTCTAACAATAAATGGTAAATATTGTTGCGTTCTACAGGTTCGTGGATTTGGAGTAATTGATGATAACATTTGATGAAAAATCAAAACACATTTTATTCAGCAGTATTACATAGGACAGTTCCAAAGACATGTTTACAGTCATAAAAAAACTGTGGTTATTCACGCTGAAACAATCAGCAACACAGTCTTCAGGCTCTAACAATGAAGACAACTTTCTGGCAAAGTACTGATGTACAGCTTCTGACTTGGTTGATCGCTGTCAAGCTAATCTCTGAACTCAAGATACTCTACTCCCAGGACAGGCAGGGTATATAAAATTTTAACCTACTTTCAAGAATATTATCAGGAAAACCACTAAGAATGCATTCTGGAAAGTTCTTGCTCCACCTATGGCATATCACCAGTTTTGTTGCCAAGTATCACAAAATGGACACTTTCTGGCAACCCTAACCCCACTTTGCAGGGTTTGCAACACTGCCCTCTGCCAAGAACTTCACGTCTTAGGTAGTACACTCCTTGTTCAGAAATCAGATTCAATTTTTCTTGTCCAGCTTTTATCTTTTTTTGGAGTGCAGCAAAGCCAGTCACCAGCTCTCTTAGTTGTGCATCCATATGCTTGTCACTGGCATTCAATCCCTTTTCTGACACCTAAAAGTGTTGCATGCATGTGGGTTCATAAAATATTAAATGCACACAGCTCCGGTGATAGGTTGGTAACATTTATTTTATAAAATGGAACACTTTAGAGATCTGGAACTTTCTGCAAAGATAGAACTCTTCACAATATCACAGAGCACAATCTATAGTTACACTGTAAACTACTGTGAATGTTAAACACAACGCAGTGCAAAGCACAGCTACAGAGAAAGCTACGCAGAGGTATCTCAGCACTCTGAACTCACGCTGAGGTAACAACAACTGAAAGCAGATGCTGTATCTAGCCTTATATAGTTTTCACCCGGCTGCCAAGATAAACATCTAGTACTTGCTTCTCGAAATCACTGGAAGGCAATATGAGGGTTGATTTACAGTTACAGCTAATATAGTGATCAATTACATTTTCTCTATTACAATACCTGTTACATGTGATACAGGGATTGTACCAAAATGTCACCATGTTTGGCAACTTTTGGCAATTTCTCACCAAATTTGGCAGCAGAAATTAGTTGCCAAAACTGTTGCCAGCTGACACTATCTTGGCAAATTACCAAGATACTCATTTTCTCAATGTTAACTGGATTTACCCTGTATTCTTACTTTACAGGTATAGCTAGCTCTCTGTAGATTTTTTATGTTACATTACACAGAAAAATACAATAATTTCCCATATAATTGCACTAAAATTATCTCTCTATTTACAAAATTCGTAACAGTAACTTTCAATGCGTACAGTTTGAAGTTTGAAATAAGGCATGCATATAGTTTTCCCACATCAGTGCTTCCCTATTGTTCAAACGTTTGTTTCTGTTGGCAACAGACAAACTTAGTTGTTTATTTTAGATTGAGGCACCTGCATTTTTTGAGATGATCACAAATACTTCATGCTTAACAGTTTCGATTGCTCTACATGCTTTGCAGTGGCAATTTAATGTTACTTTCATTATTAGTTACTAGCATGTGTGTAATTGTTTTGAAGTTTCCACAAATTTTACTGTATTTTTATAAGCACATTGGGTGCTGATTGTGAAGTCATGAAATCACCTCTTGATAATGATTTTGAAATCCTGAAATAAAAAAAAAGAGAAGATTATCAGTCATTTACTAGAGAAGAGTGTAATTCTTTTTTTGGCAAAAGCTAAGATAAGGCTTCTCGCAAATCACCTGAAGATTATCAGTGGCTATTTAAATATGATATTGTAAGACTCGATAATGTTGAAAAACTCATCATTCCATAAAAAGTAAAGCTCTGATTATTTATTTTACTTTTGTGGGGGACAATTTTAATTGAATTGAATGAATTTTTAATTTAATGAAATTCATATTGTGTACAGTTATGGAAGACAAAACATAATGATGGAAAAGATTAATATAAAGTATAAGAACACAGTCAAATTGTAGTCATATATTTGAACCTTTGTGGACCTTGTCAAGAAAAAAAAGAGGCATTTCACAAAAAGGTCATGTTATTAACCAATTAAAAGCAGTGATTTAAGTTCAACATGTGAAGGTGATCTCATTGACATGCAATTGCAAGCGGACAGACACATTTCAGTTTATAATGATATATATAATGATTAATGAAATTTGTTGAGCGTTAAAAGCAAAGCAAGCCAAGGCCATTGCTTATCATCTTTTGGATGTATATATATAGTGATCACTGGAATTTGGATCACTGTGCATCTTGCAAATGACAATAGCCGAGAATGTACTAATAAAATTATTGAAGTTTATAAAGACATTATCAGCCACAAGACTCATTTATATCTGGATGGAAAACTAAATTAGGTTTAAGAACTACTTGCAGTCAATGCTTTATCAGAAACTGCAAGTGAAGCAGGCCGTGGTATATTAAGCAATCACTGTGATAATGATGTCTAACATCAGACTGTAATGCCAAATAAGGGCGAGGATATAGATCTAATGAGTGATGACAATATGGAAGTAAAAGAGGATATTTTGAGTGAAGACCTGAAGGTGATAGTCAAGGCTCGGATTTTGATGACATATGCTTTCCTTTTTTTTTTTTTTTTCCATTTTTAGTCCAAAGGTGCTTTGTTCCTGAGGGACTATTGTTTTCGTTTTGCAATTTTGCGTCGAATCACTCTGAATGTCTGTTTCACTTTTCAAACTCTTGCCACCAAATATTACTGCCATGTATTTTATTTAAAGAAATTAAATAACGAAGAATTATACAATCTGCATAAATTTATATATGTTTTTCATATTGTGATAAAACAATTGTACCTAGAGCTCTCAAATTTTGAATGACATAATCCTACTGTGAATATAGGCATCTAGAAGCCCAAAATTTGAAATTTGGAATTTTTTATTTTATTGCTTTCATATTTTGTAAAACTTTAACAAATTCAAGGATTTCAAAGCGAGCAATGGCAACGTTGTACAGAAAATAATTTTTATCTCCAGCGCATGAGACTGTGTATCAGAAATTCTAAAGATATGCTCAATTTAAAATTATTTTGCGATATTGCTTGAATTTTATGGGTTAAGTGCAAATAACATGATATTTAATAAATAAAGGTAACACACAAAATGTTAAAAAAAAAAACCCTTTGGATGTAATTTAAAATCTGAAACCTTTCAGATTTTCTTTCTTTCTTTTTTTCTTTTTTTAAATCCTTTCAAGGTTGATATATAAAAGAATTTAAATTGTGGTAAAATATTGCATGAATTGTAACTTATGGACCCTAAGAACACAAAATTGAAATATAAAAAAAATGTCTAGAGTGAAATCCTAAATTTTGAGGGCCGGTATATATTTTATACCTCTGGCCCTGTAAGACATTTTGTAACTTTTGTCTTTAAATCTATTTTTTGCACACTTCTGCTGTGCATCGGTAGTGAATATAGTTATGTAAGTCTAAAGTCAAAAACTTTTAAAATTTTGCTAGAAATTTAAAATTTTAAAAATAAAATTTTTGTTTTGAGGCACTTTGATGATGCCACCCAGCTGAACTTGCTTATTAAAATATGGCTAGAAAGCTTTTGAAAGTGATTTAAATTTAATACTATTATTTTATGAAAAAATTAGTAGATGTAACAACACTGTATGCACAAACCGTTATCATGTGACAACAAGCTAATGGTTTATGCATGCAGTGTTCTAATTGAACATTTGTAATTTTTTATTGTCGTAAAGTATTTGTTTGTGATGTAATATGTTTGTAATAAATAATGAATTATCTTATACATAAACAGTAATCATTAGTCTAAAGGTTTTTTTTTAATTTTTTTTATTGAGCAAATTTCATTGCTAATAAAACTATTAATGTGTGTAATTTCTTGCACTTCATATTACATGACATTAAAATTATGTTGGTGTTTGGGATTTCAATCTGTATGCTTAATAAATCACAGTGACTAAACTTCATTGTTAATTATTAATATTTACTGTAAATGTGAGTATTATGCATTATTTATCACCTTCACCAAAATCATGGTTATTATTAATAATAGCCATATTTTTTTGCTCTTACCGTCACATATGCATAAATACACATGCTAAGATTAATGCAATTAATATGGTTTTTTTTTTTTTTTTTTTAAGTTTTTGCTTTTTTATTTGGTAGTTGCTTTCTGTTTTTGTAATGTTAAGTTACCTTCCCCCCCCCCCCCCCGTGGTTATCTGTTTGACAGAAAAATTATAATTCTGTATGAATTTCAATTACTATTAAAAAGGAATCACTTGCATTAAAAACATTTTTTTACCATAGCATAGAAAACATCAGTGGGAGTTCTGTTAGTTGTCACCTTATTTTAGAATCAGAAAGCATCTCACCACGAATTGAAATCTAAATAATTTTTCATACCTTTTTATTTCATCAGTTCATGAATTCTATATGACATCATGAGGCATTTGAAGTCCAACTAATTTTTTAGTTCCTCTCTCTCCTCTTTAGCATTTCAGTCTGTATTAATATTGAAATTTATATGCTATTTACTAGACATCATCAGGTCCCTTTCCTGATTTTATTTAGTTGTTCCTAAATTTGTGTTTATTCTGGTTTTGCAGATTACCAAAGTATCATGGTTGATGATGGTCTAGTTAATAAAGCTGAAAAAGCCATTCGACAGTGCCTTTGCCAGCTGCAACTATTAAAAAAAGTGTGGTCTGATGTTCTACCAGTGGAAGTATATTTTAAAGCAATTGGGACTTTACTGAATACTTGCTTAGAAGAAATAATTGCAAATATATTACTAATAGAAGATATAGCAGCAGAAGCTGCTGCAAAATTGGATAGCATCTTTGATATACTTTTAAAGGAAGGGCCTGACCTTTTCAAGGTATGCATTTATATAATTTGTTTCTTTAAATACCTAAGTAAAGGCAAATCATATTATGATTTAGATAATTAATGTAGATTCAGATAACTTGATGTAACCTTATATATGGCAGCTATAAAAAAATTGTCTCCTTTCAAACATGTGATTCAAGTTCTCTGATGAGAATTTTCAATGCACTTTCATTTGGCCAATATATGTGAAACCACGCTGACATGATAGATCGAAATTCTCCAAAAACTCAAAGATGGGATCTTTAAATATTGAATAATGTATTTTACTGATAAGTGAGAAAATGACATCAGACTTATGAAAATTCTGTAAATAATAGAAAGATTAAACAGTATTATGGTAATACTGTTATGATTATTTTTAATTGTGAAATACATTTTATGATGACAAGAAGTACCTGTTGCCAAGCAAGTACAGCTATGCATTATATATTTTTTCTTTTTACTTCCTTGTACGAAGTAAAGAAAGTATGTAATCACAAAAAATTCTGGGTACCGTATTTCAACAAAAATATCCATTTTGACCGCTATCAAGTGTTATTTAACTCTGTTTTTGCATGTCATCTGTACGTAAGGACAGAATAAAGAACTCTTTTCCCCAAAACGAATTATAAAATTGATTTAAAATGGATTCAAAAGAGATTTTTTCATGGTATCTGTATGTACGTATGTATGTATCTCGCATAACTCAAAAACGAGTAGCCTCAGAACCTTGAAATTTTGTATATAGGACTGTTATAATATGTATTTGTGCACCTCCCTTTTTGGTTGCAATTGGCTGTACCAAAAGTATATAAATACAGTACAAAGTCCATAATCTGGACGTCCAATATCTGGAATGATCTATAATGCGGACCTCAAAGCCACAAACTTACGAATGTGTGTAAAATGTTTGATGCGCGCGTCCACTATGCATGCGCGTAAAGCCAGTAAAGTGTTTACCCATGTGTGCTTCCAATAGTGAAGAAAGTAATAGAGAACATTATTGAAAATGAAAAAATTTCGATTGAAAGTTAGTCGGTGTTCTTGACACAGCAATTACAGGACTTTAACAGTGGAACTTTGTAACTGAACAAGAAATTATATCTGTTTATAGAATTAAAGAGAAAGTATTAGCACAAAAAACGAAGCAACTTAAACAACTTAGATTGAAAGAAGTGTTTACTAAAGTAAACAAATAAATATTAAGCTTTTTTTTTTTTGTAAATTTTGATACCCTTTAGATCATAATTGCTCTTTATTTCGGTTTCATTAATGGCTCCAGAGTCTTCCTTATGACCTTTCTGTTGGTCTTCCTCTTAGAAACTAAACTTTTGGCGCCTCTCTGACTGAGAGTTAGCGCCCTCTATACATCTTGTTTGTTGGCGTGACCCATACATCACATCCCCCATTCAAGATTGAAAGAGGGTGAAAGCCTATTGAAATATGACAAATTATGGTGGCGTCAAACAAAAGAGTTACTTACCTACTACAAAATCAATGAATACTGAAGTTGAAAGATACATAACACAATACTTATACAGGTTACTTCTACACCTACTACAAGACTTCTTCTAAAACTGTAACATACAAATTAGTAATCAAACAATTTTAAATGAAATAGAATAATACTTAAAGTCTCTATGAGAGTAGCTGCAAAAGAAAACACGCACAAAAAAATAATAATCTTAGAGTCTATAAATATCTATAAAAAGTTCTTTCTTTCACACAAGTCACTCAATAGTCTCTAGTCTCAACAACACATCAGCATTGTTCAACTTAGTCCCTGGGCAAAGCAAAATTGTAGTATCATACTTTTGTAATGCTAAAGCCCATCTCTGTAACTTAGAAGATTGTGGTGCATTCTTTGTGATGAAAGTTAATGGATTGTGATCAGTTATCAGTTCCACGGGTGATCCAAAAATGCAGGTTTCAAACTTTTTCAGGCTCCAAATAACTCCAAATAACAGCATAAGCTTCCCTCTCGATAGTTAGCCATGCTTGTTGTGTTTTGGTTAGTTTCTGGCTGGCGTAACTAATCAGGTACAACTTTCTGTTTTTCCTTTGAGATAAGCGGGCTCCAGCACCTGTTGAAGATGCATCACTGAATTGTAAAAGGTAACCCTGGAACAGGACTAGGTGCTTCCATTAGGCATTTCTTTAAATTCTCAGATGTTTCGTCGTGTTTTTCTGTCCAGCACAGCTCTTCAGGACTTTTTCTTTTAGTGAGCTCGGTGAATGGATAAGCTGTTTCGGTGTAATGTGCAAAATAATCTCTGCAATAATTACGTAGGCCTAGAATACTTTTCAAATGTTTCTTTGTTTGAGGTCTAGCTAATTTCTGTATAGCCTCCACTTTCTCTGGATCAGTATGATGACTGCCGGAACCGATGATATGTCCTAGACACTTAATGTGAGTTTTAGCAAAGGAACATTTCTTGAGATTTAAGGAAAACTTTAGTTCTAACAGTTTCGAAAAAATGGTGTCAAGATGTACTGAATGTTCAATCCAACTATTTGAATAAATTGCTATGTCATCGACATAGGCTCGAGCAAAATCTTTGTATTTAGCAAGGGCTTGGTTCATCACTCTCTGAAATGTTTAAGCGACATTGCGTACCCCGAAAGGCATGACTTTAAATTGATACTGAGCCCGATGTGTCTTGAAACATGCTAATTCTTGACTTTCTTTTTCTAATGGTATGGCCCAATAGTCTTTGAGTAAATCAATGGTGGATATCACTTTGGCTTTTCCAATGTGGAATAAGAGCTCTTTAGGATTTTCCACAGGGAAATCATCTGGTTTTGTTACTGCATTAAGAGATCTAAAGTCAATGCAAAGACGAAGATTACTGTCTTTCTTCATAACGCATACAATAGGGTAAGAAATTTCAGCATTGGTTTCTTCAACCAATCCCAAGGACAACATTTCTTCGATTTGTTTGTCTACTTGCGGCTTCAATGCTTCTGGGATTCGATAAACATATGGTTTCTTTCTTTCAGTGACATTTAATCTTATTTTATGTTCTCCTACTTTGGCAATTTGTACCTTATTTATAAATAAGTTGTCATATTTTCTTAACAAGTTAATCATGTCATTCCTTTTATCATCATTTAAATGGCTTAAGTCTACTTCGCTAAGAGGAAAATGATCAGATTTGTCACTCACACTGGGTGTGGGGTGGACTTCTCCTAATTCTTCTTCGTTCTCAAATATTACACCTACTGCATGTACCTTTGGATTAAATTTTCTAATTTTATTTATGTGTACTCTTCTTATTGTACCATCTGCCAGTTTGACTGTGTAAGAATCTGGATTACAATGAGATACTATTTCTGCAGGTCCTGTCCATCTGGCATATAATTTATTAGTGAAATCTGGAATCAGAAAGTACACTTGATCTCCAGGATTGAATTCCTTATTCCTTATATTGAATCCCTTCGATTAGCATATCTTGCATATGCACCTTCTTTTAATTCTGCAATTATAGATGCTTGCTCTCCTGCTATTTCTAAATTCATTTTTAGCTTCTGTAGATAATCAACAGCACTTTTATCCAATTTTATTGGTAATGGAATTTCTCCTGACCATGACGATTTTAATACTGACAACGGACCTCTGGCCTCTCTTCCATACATTAATTTAAATGGGGATACTCCCATAGTACAATTTGGAATTTTGCGGTAAGTGAATAACAGGTATGGTATGTGTTTGTCCCAATTTTTAGAGTCGTTTTGGTGCCTTGATTGCTAGCTATTACCCGAGGTATGCCCATTCTCATAAAGATTTCTAATAATGCGTCGCATGTTGATTTTGCTGTAATTGTTCTCAAAGGTTGGTCGACTAAAAATAGTACATATTTGTGTTATGGTGCTGATGGAGGTTCAATTGGACCGATTATATCTACACTCACTGTGTCAAATGGAAATTCAGGTCTCTGAACTGGAACTATGGGTATATGATCGCTGCTTCTTTCTCTACTTTGTAATTGACATTGTTTACAAGTTTTACAGTATTCCTCAATACTGTAAAACTTGTAAACAATGTTTTACTGTATTCTTCATTTTGTTGAAAGCAAATTATTTCAGGAAAACATGGGATCAGGTGTAACTTCAAGTTTAAAAGGAGAAAAAGTACGTAGATGCAAAATGTTGTGGTTTCTTCAGTTAGTTGTAGAAGCAAATAATTTTCGAAATATTATATGCTGTTTATTTATTACTTTTAAATAAATAAATGGATGAAACACTTTATTCAGGAATTTCTGTGTGATTCAGAAATCAGTAACAAAAATTTTTAACTCTATGTATTTAAAAGATATATCAATGTAATTAGTATTGAAATACAGCATTTTTTAAAAAATTATTACGTAAAGTTTTAATTGCAATTTTAAGATGATATTGTACTTTGGATTCTAGCTTATGGTGCTTTATTTTAAACTTCTGTGACAGAAGGCAGCATTTTACTATCTTGCTATGAAATAACGTAGTATTTAGAATAACATAGTATAATGTTTATTTACCCAAAAGGATAGACGTTAGATTTTTAATATATATTCAGTTTGCTGCATCATCCTGTATATTTATTGTAAAAACTTATTGACTGTTATTTTTTTATTTTAAGAAAAAAAGTATTATTTCAGATATAAATAGTTATTTAGAATTTCAGATCTAAAACTCTGTGATTTCTTATTACGGAATTACTTAGAGTCAGGATATAAAAGATGACCAGATGTCATTGGCAGTGTTGAAAGATGTAACTGATAGCATATGTAAATAATTTCTTGAGAAGTGATTTTAATAATTTTACTCGGGTAGTTCTGGATAATGTCTGACATATTCAACATTTAAAAGGTGTATTGCGTTTTCCTGTATGTATGTCATCTGCTGGACATAACTGTAATTAAAAAGTTTATATGATAAAATTCTTAATACCTCTGATACTTTGTATATTTCTATGTTACTTGCATAATTGTATAAATTCACTGTGATACAGTTTTTTTAAATGTGTACTGCATTTTGTATTTATTTTTTATCAGAAATTTTTTTAATTTCTCATGAAACTACTGTACCATTTTATTATTGTATTGTAAATTATTTTGTAGCTTTATCTTTTAGTATATGTAAAATATCATTAGTAATCACACACTTTTGAATATGTTTAATGATGTTATATTGTGAAAAGTTTTAGTATTTAATATTATTAATGTATGTTTTTATTTCAGGTATCATCCATAGATAAAAGTAATTTAATACATCTCTATGTCCGAAGCTTGTTCAAGTTCCAGGAATTGCAATTAATATTCAGTGCTAGTATGAAAGAAATTGTTGATCGATGGGCTAGTGGCAAAGGTCCTTTAGCTACACATTTTAAATCAGAGGAAGTAAAACATCTTATTAGATCTTTATTTCAAAATACTGAAAGACGAGCTGCAGCTTTAGCTAAAATAAAGTGATATCATTTGTATGAGAAAAACCTTCAAGTGCCATCTAAATATTTCATATTTTATAAATAATTATATAAAGAAAGATCTTTTTTAACACTTTTATATAGAAAATTAAATGAATTTGTTTATTTTGCATTCTACATAATTGTTCAAATGTTTTCTGGAATTTTTCTGATTTGCTAGTAAAACACCATTCTAAGTGTTTTTTATCTCATTTATTGAACTGAACATTTGATTGAATAGATAATTTTACATGGAAAAAAATATAATTTGTGTGCAGGGCAATAAATATCTAGAGAATACAGAAATAGAAAATCTCAGTCAAATGTAAGCAATCAAAACCAGTTTTCTTTAATTACTGAAATAAATTAATGCTTTTTCCAAGTAAGTATTCAAGACTCAAACAGAATCATTAATTACTTCACATAAATACTACTGAAATGTAGGCATTCTATCCAAATGTGCTGCACGAACACCACAGCATTACAATTAGAACACTCAGTTTTACAATTGACTTCTAATATGTTATTGGTGACAATCATGATATCAAGGAATCTCTGTGGGTCTGCTGTCTTTCTTTTCCCTGTTTTTTTTCTTTATCAGATTTGATAAAGTGGGTTACCTACAAAAAATTCCCCAAGCTTCTGTCTATTGTCTTAACATTTCCTGGCATTTTTGGTTCCACTGTGGTTTTGAATTATTTGTACCTTTCCTAAGGTTACAGGTGTAGAGACCACAGTGGCTTGAAAAATAGCACCGGCTTTCACTGTGTCAATAGCCATGTCATTTACCATTTCTTCTGTGAGCTTTGTAAGACATAGATGAGTTCCTAATCAGCCTTATCAAAGACAATATATTGTATTTACTTCTGCTTTTGCGAGAAAATTATCACTATTATAAAGATCATTTCGAACACTAAAAGTATAAAATAAGAAGAAAGAAGGTGAACAGATATTAAGATCAAGTGCATGAAAGAACTTTGTAGACTCATGAAAGTAAATAGCTTGTCCATTATTGAAGAGACAAAGGCAATCGAGGTTGAGGATTTGTGTTCTTCCCCAGAATTGACTATAGCCATTAAAGTTCTGTATTTTGATAAAAAATTCAGGCCGCTGCTCTATGAGGTCATCTAAATCTCGCTCATTTCTGTGGTAATTTGGAGACAGATGAGCAGAGCAGACTGAAACAAAACTAGATAAGTTCGTTAGCATAGAGCCAGCTTGGAGGAATGTTGTCAGTTGAGGTGAAGAGACCTACACCTTCATTGGCACGTCCACCTACCTATTACCTTTCGTGGTCAAAGAATACCAGGTTGTTCATCTTTCAGCATAGTTTTCTGCACTGCTAATCTTGCAGGATATGCATTGGTCATATATTTAATGTTAGAGAGATTTTAGTAGAAATTGTGATCAGCTTCATGAAATGAGCACTACCATTATGTATGATGTTTGTTCTTCTGTCTTATGTGGAAGAAGGTGCTTTATGATAAGGTCTTCACCCATGACAAACATGTAGGCAGTTTCATTTGCATGAGAAGCTTTATAAACATACCGTGTTCATAAAATTGTTAATAATTTTAAAGTTTTTCAATGCTTTTTTGAACTGGTTTTCATATCCATTGTCAAACTTTCTGAGATTGTTTTACAAAGTTTAATTTTAATTAATTTTTCTAGCAATGACAAAGACTTCGAACCTTACGGGCACGTGAATGTCCAGTGACATTATGTAATATTGCAATAATTAAAGTTACTACTCCTCTTTTTCTATGCAGTTACCAGGTTGGTTCAAAATACATGGAGATGCAATGCTTTCATTTGGCAAGCAGCTTCTAAGAAAAATGAGGTGAAAATCGGGTCAAGTCAATGAACCTATCATGTTATGACTACAAAGGTAGTTAATGAATAAGTTGTGAAACAAAAGTTCCATAACAAAATAAACATATTATCTTGCTTCAGCTTTTGGGGTCCTGATGCCAGGCTGCCTAAATATAAACATGTCTCTTGATAAGGCAAATGCATTCAGATTTCACTCGATAGTACAAAATATTTACAGATTTATAAATGAAACAAACAGTGTAGCAGCACTTTCATAACTTTAATTTGTAAGGTTTAGTTTAATTCATTAATTACCTTTTTTATTTGTACAATCACTTCTAGTTTCGTTGCTTTTCACTAGAGTCCAAATAAGTTACATGAATATAAAAATGGAAGTTTATGAAAGATCTGTTCATAATTTAATAACTTTGCCCAATTGCTTTGATACACTGTCTTTAACCCCTTGGGTAAATTTGACGTCTGAGACACATCATTCACTTTTTTCCCCCTAGGAGCGGATGACGTGTCTAAGACGTCAAACCAAATATAAAACTCTTGGGTACATTTGATGTCTGAGAGACGTCATTCACTTGTTTTCCCTAGGAGCGGATGATTCACATACTTAGCACGAAACATTCAAATGCTGATTTGATAAACACAGGCAAAAGGAGAAAAAATGAAGGTGGCGATAGCGAAAATATTATAAAATCGGCATCTGTGCTTGAGTATAATAAAGGTATGGGATGCGTTGATAAACAAGACCAATTGCTAGCGTGCTTCTCCAGTTTATGAGAAAATTTGTATAAAGGGTTATAAGAAAATGTTTTTTTCATCTAATAGATATGGCCTTTTATAATACTATTCTTTTATAATACTATTTTATATTCTAAAATCAACTGCACAACCAAGGTAGGCATTACTTCCTTTCGTTTAGCTATTGCCGAAAGAATTGCTGGAAGCAATTGTCATTAAATTATATATATGCTCAAATTATAAACGTTGTTGACGCCCGTCAAGTAGCGATACACCATTTCGTTTGGCAGCAAAAAATTGGGCACACTTTCCTGAGAACATTCCGTCAACTAAGCCAACACCCTGGAAAAAGGTGCTGTGTTTGTTATAAGCATAATATTAGGAAAGAGACTACGTGGCAATACAAACAATGCAAAGTAGCACTGTATTTACTTATTTGCTTTGAAAAATATCACACTCTGCATAATTATTAGTAACTGGATTTTTGTTATAGCTTTAATTTATTTCATTTAGTTTTATTTTGTTGTCATTAATTTATTTTTGTTTTGCAATTATAATTACTTGAAGATATCTTAATACTACATATGTCATCAATATTTTAGAAATAAATAAATTCTTACGTAAAATGTGCTGCTTTTACATTCTACTCCAAGCAACCAAAAATTATATCCGTTCCACATGCAAAGATTTTCTCAAATAAATCCGTACCCAAGGGTTAACATACTACCGTAATGACACCCAGTCTGAATGAAGATGCCTGGTGATTCAGCTATTTCTGTCTCACGTCTTGCAAAGCTGCAAATTAGATGAATGCCGGCAAGCCCAATGGAAGGTTTAACCCATTGCCGTTTTTCACTTTGATGGCGAAAACAGACCAAATTGTCTCACAAAAGTTTTCACTTTTGTCCTCAAACCGGGGTTGCCTCCAAGACTCAGGGTGTTTCAAAACGGATTTGCCTTCAGCAGAAACATTTCTTCCTCCCACTTGTTTTCCGTCTGTTAAGCATTCAAGATAAGAGTTGTAAAACTGAAGCATAGTCAAAGCTTAGATCCTCCTAACTTTCCCCTCAGGCTATTTGGGCAGGGATGAACCATAGAGTCTTCAACTTTTGTTCTGTAAAAACGTTACCCCATCTCCCTGGCTTATTCTATGACTGAGGTATTTGTATGAAGCAGAAATTAATGTTTAGAGTTTCTACGATGTTTCAGCAAGATAGCCTTTCCAGGGTTCATAGCCACATTTTAGTTTAAAAAAATAAGCACCTATAAGCACTTTTCAAGCACATTTTAAGAAAAAAAATAAGCACCTGCCTAATTACATCATACACAACTGCGTAACCTTAAAAATTAGACTTGTAATTTAAAATATGAGAAATGAAGTACTTATTAAGAGAGAATAAGCATTACCTCAACCATGGAAAATAATTACTTTTTTTTTTGTTTTTAATTTTAAATAATAGTTCAATTTACAGAACTAGTTTACAATGAGAGAAAAAAAAAAAAAAAAAAAAACTATGAAGAACTAAACTATATTACAAGATTTAATGATGAAATTTCAGTTCAAAATAGAGAAAAAAATAATAATAAGGCATATTTATTGTATTCACTTGGAACCTAATAATAATATAATTTATTTTTCCACTCATATTGATATTTAAATAATTTAAATCTAAATTAAATTCTGAACATTTTCTTTTTCTAAATTTTCATTGTATATCAGTTTTCTCTCTTAACAGATATTGCAAGCAAAGTAATTTAAGTAAAAAAAAGAGGAACATTTCTGAAATCAGAAGACAGAAATTTGCTTCATGCAGTCATCCTTTAACAGTAAAAGCTTAACTAACCCGCATACTTGGAAATTGGCGAATATTCGGACAGTCGAGCGTAACTTGAAAAAGAGCGAAGCGGAGGGGGGGGGATAGACTGTAGCCGCTTCTTTAGATTTTTCCACTAAATAAATGCTTTTGACATTTCAATATGTGCATCATATAAAAATAAACCAACGGAACTGAAAAAATATTCTGCTTAGCAAGCACAGTAAAACTCTTTTAAATGTTCATAAACAAATCTCGGACTGAACATCAAAATTAATTATCTCTGCAAAATATGGCAAACGTTATTGCACAATACGTGCGCCGTAATTCTTCCCTACGTGATATTACGCAATAGGAATCAACAGCTGCCGGTATTGGGAGAATAAAGAACTAAATAACTGGGGTGTTTTTCATTCTAATTTTCAACAGACGGCGTTAAATTTCCGGAATAGAATCATTCTTTCGCTTGGGTTGGTAGACCGCAGAACTTTTAGTCCTATTCAATCCAGATTGGAAAGTGACAACAACAACCCCCCGAAAAAAAAAAAAAAAAGTCCGTTGCTTGTTTTGCAGCGGAACTGTAACAGTTTCAATAGTTCAAGATTTTGCGGAGAAATGGGAGAACCTCTCCAATCCTTCGTACTGTATAATGTATTGGCCAAAAAATTAAATTATTTTGACTATTCGATTACTTTCCCTTTATTTAAGCCATTCCGAATATTATTCCTTAGAAAAGCTAATCTGTGTTAAAACACAACCAATTTTTTGGAAGTTTACTATACTTCAGCAGTTACTGCAACTATGTTATTATAAACATTCATACGTATGCTCATAATATAAGCATAACCGATCATAATAAATGCGAATATGAACTGACCAAGCAGGAACGAGAAAATGCAAATTATTTAAGAATCTTGAATAGAAATTCAAACGTGTGTAGTATTTGGGTGGGAGGAAAAGAATGCTGAATGTAGCGGAATTTTCTACTGCTTTAGCAATTCTTTTACCAATAGAACGACGGGCACCTGTCTGTACTCTTCGTGCACACCAAAGGTTTAACAAAAAAAAAAAAAAAAAAAAAAAAGCATTAAAAGCAAAAAAATAAGCACTAAAAACAAAAAATAAGGGCTTTTAAGAAAAAGTAAGCACCTATAAGGGCCTTTATATTTTATTTTCAAATATAAGGACTTATAAGCACTTATAAGGACCGCTACGAACCCTGCTTTCCTATTAATCTAGATATTACACTTGAATTTTTAAAAACAGATTTTACAACTTACTGGCATAATATTTTATGTTTAATGTTGCAATTAAGGGTCAAAAGTTTTGGAAGGCTAACACATAAACATACAAACATATTATATATGTAGCCTTTCTTAATAATTGATACTTGCACATTACTGCATATACAAAAAGACTGACTAGGATTGAAACAAAACCTTTATTAACAACCTTTTACAACAGAACAGAGTACAGACTTTGTTTCCAGTAAATGAGATTAAAATAATCTACCTTGTTAAATATTTTGTCATATTAGAATAAAACAAAAGTTTAAATTTGGAAAATTATGTGACACACTGCTTGGAACTTTATGATACATTAGTGTCAAAGGATGTAAAGGTTTTCTTTCATATTGCAGAAACTGAAAAATAAAATTGATTCAAGGGAAAAAAAATCATTTAGCATCACAAGGAAAAAAGGAGTTTATTATTTACATTTACACAGAGTAAATTTAAAATGAGAGAACATTTTTAAATATTTAAAAAATTGAAAGATATATAACTTAAATTAGCATAAGCAATAAATAATTTAATAAATCTATGTAGAGTATGAAATGCCCATTACAGTTTAACATAAACTATAAATTAAATTTCAGTCTGCGTGGTGTCATAAATGTTTTAACAGTATTATCATCAATGAGTTTCCGTCGTTCTTGATGCTCAGCAACAATTTTTTGTAAAATGGATATCAGTTCTTTTTTCAAATGGCCAGTTAAAAGTTCTCCACTTGTATATTCCTAGAAAAATAAAATAAAATAAAAAAATAATTGTGACTTACTATGTGTATTCTGTATGACTTATATATGTTTAAAGGCAATAAATTTATTTAATATTCTACATAAGTCCTACAAAAATCAACATTATCCTGATACAGTAGTAAATCACATCAAAAATTTATTTTCAATTCATAATGAAGGTTCTAAGTTTTACAGATAATTATTTAAATGGCTGCATGAAACAGGTTGCTATCAGAATTAGGTTGTAAATTTTTGCAAGACTGCAATCCAGAAAATATTATTTCAGTATTTCAAAAATACTACATGGGTTTTCTTTGATTCTAGTGAAATAATCGCATATACTATAAAAAAAAGGGGGGAGAACACTATTTTCTAAATTCCTTAACAATGGAAAGATGACTGCTTTTTTTTTTATCATTTTGTATTTACTTCTGATTGCTATATCTTTATTTGTGGACTCGGATGAAGTTTTCAGACTTTTTCTAACTTTACATGATACACCTTTACAAAATTTTATACAATTTAAATTTTGTAAACAAAATTTGCATATATATAATATGCTACAAATGCAAGAGACCAATTAGTGCAAAAACCTGTAAAAACATAATTTGTATTGACTATAGCATATAAAAGAAAAAATATCTATTGGAACTTCATCAATGGAAAAAGAAAAATTAAATATAGCATTTCTCTTAGTGGTCATACTGTATATACAGTAAAAGCCAAATTACCTGGCATTAAACTGAAAAACGCAAGTAACCACAATATTTTCAAATTTTAAAACCTTAAAAAAGGAAAAAAAAAAAAAATTAAGCAAATAAGAGATTTATAACTTTGTTATAAAGCAAGAATAGGACTAATATTTGGATAAAACAAGAACTGTAAACAAGCAGGGCTAATTTAGCACCAATAATGGATAAGTGAGACATACCAATTTCGCTTTATGTAAATTCCATTAATTCTTAATAAGTTGGTTTATTTTTTGTAAAAAATGATACAACTTAACTGCTGTTACCTGATTCAACTGCATTTTGAAAACAAAAAATGAATAAAGTTTGGGATTTGTCTTCAATGGAACAAACAGCATGCAGTAGAATATTTTCAGGAATCTGATATCAAGGGAAGTGCTATTTATGTGAAAACGAATAAACATTGGCTGTGCAACATTAAAATTATGACAAGCAATTTAATATTCTTTTATATGACATGTCCGTAACTTGCATATGTTGATTAATGAAATAAAGAGCAATCTATTCCTTCAAATTCTGCCTGAGTGCCAGGCACAATTTTGGCAAGATCTTTGCCAAATTATTATGGTTGACGGAACTTCATAATTAAATATGATGTTTTATTTCAGCATTTCTCAAGCTTTTTGGAGAATTTACCTTTTATTGTACTTCATTTCCAATTAATGAAATTTATAAATAATATTTTGTGCACATTCATTATGCATAAAATTCTGAATAAATTTTCATGCATTTAGCTTATGTTATAAGTAACAGCGACAACATTATGTTTCCTTACTTAAAATGTCTTTGAACCTCATTATATATGCTCATAGAAATATTATATTCATCTATTTTTTTACAGTTTAATATTAATTGGTGAGAAATAATCTTGAATTTAAAATATCAAGCCACTGTTTATAAAAACGTACACATAATGCATTACATTCTTGATTTTAATTCAACCCATCAAAATGACATCTTTAATTAGTAAGGGAAGGAATCTCATCTTTCTAATCTAAATATAGAGATAGTCTTATGGTGATTTTTTCCCTGGATGAATACAACTGAAAGTAAACAGTATTTAATATCATCTTCATTAAGGTAGGTAAAATATATCTTTAATTAGTAAGGGAAGGAATCTCATCTTTCTAATCTAAATATAGAGATAGTCTTATGGTGATTTTTACCCTGGATGAATACAACTGAAAGTAAACAGTATTTAATATCACCTTCATTAAGGTAGGTAAAATATGGAAAAGTTTGGTGTAAATTGTTTCTGATTAAGTTACAAAAATATAAACAAATTCATAATAAAAATTTGAGATATTAAAATTACAATACAAGGCTTTCATTTCACTTTTTACTAACATTCTATTTTTAACGGTGACATCAAATGACATTTTGAGAACCTGATATTAATAAAAAAAATTGTAATAAATAATTCACCTTTCGTATAGTTTCTAATCTGTCATCATCTTCTAAAAAGAATCGCAGATACTGGTATGATATATCTACATCACAATTACCTCCCTTTTCTCTGTGCTCTTCTATAGTAGCTCCACCACCAGAAAAAGCATATTTGTTTATCTAGTCAAATGTAAGCAATTTTTATTCATGATAAAAAATATGAATATTATTTTAATTAACAATAAAACATAAATTATATTTATTTTAAAATTTCATGATTGTCTTATTTTTCTATGCAAGAATAAGCTGTACTTACAATACTTGAAATAACAAATACAATAATCAAACTATCTTTCTGTGTAAAAAAAAATGTGCAATTTTGAATTTATTACTTGTTTAAAAAATTAAATGAACAAGAAATGTTAAAACTGCAGCAAGACTATAATTTCGGATAAGAAAAAAAGGCAAATTTTACATGAGAATACAATTGTATTAATTTTAAATCAAAATTAAGTACAATTACAATAATAGTTAACTAGTATCACAGAATTGTCAGAATAATATAGGAAATGCATCATGATTTCAAAGAGTACATACAGTAATTTCAGGATGTATATAGAATTTATGTCACTTTAAATAGTCTATGTTACCCAAACTCAACACACAGCCCACATGAAGCTAAGCTCAAATAAAATTTACTTGCTATTCTTACAAATAAAGATTGGATGCCACCAATGCGGTATAAAAATTTCTCAAGTGCATGTTAAAATTCAAATTTTGCATGTCTTGTAAAGCTTTAATTTTGTTATGCCACAGGTACAATTACTGTCAGATGCAATAAATATAGCTGCATGGTCATATATGCATAACCTGAACAACCTTATACTGCACATGCACAAAGTGTTCTGTAGTTATACTTTGTGGCAGTTTTTGATTATTTTAATTTCATACATTCACAGAATTGTACTATCTATAATGGCTAGAATATTTTCAAAAAACAAACAAAAGTTAGCTCACAAAAATAGATTATTTCAAAAGAAATGAGAAGGGAACTATTTTGTTGTACAAAATTTAAATGATTCAACAATTTATTTGTTTTTCTGTGAAATAATGTAACAGTTATTGTCATTACAGTATGCAAAGAAAATTACTTATAAACATGTTCCCTCATGCGTCTTTAATAACAAGTGAAAAATTAACTTATTTCAAGAAATCTTTACCAACAACAGCAAAATACTATTTTGGCAGTGAATACAAGAGATAAAGTGGTGACAAGAGCATCATGTGAAATTTATAACCTACTAGGAAATATAAAAAATGATTTACTGGTGCAGAAAGTGTAAAAAGATTCTTTCAATGTATTATTTGATAAAGTTAGTAATAAAAATCAAATAATTGCACAAATAAAAATATGCAATCTCTCGAAATTTATCTGCGATGGGCATGCTGAAAATACTGTAAAATAACTTAGATAAAAGATTTAAAGAATTGTACTTATAATTTTAGTTTGATCTTTGATTATAACACAGCTATTTCAGCAGCACAGTAGTTTCTATTTATTAGATATCACAGTGAAGGGAATTTAATTCATGAAGATTTTTCAAAACTACTTCCTGTAACGAATTAAACCAGATGCAAAGATTATCTCAATATTATTACTGAATTTCAAGAAAAAAATTACATTGATATAAAGAAATTAGTTTCTGGGTTTACAGATGGATGTCCATCAATGATAAAATCTGAAGCCAAATTTATTTTCTTGTTAAGACAAAAATATAACGTAACTAATCTCATCATTTTGTGTGTCTATGCCTGAACTACACACACCATGATGAAAATTGTAATAAATATGGTGAATTCATGAAAACTGAATCATAGAAAATCGTGTAGTAATTATAAATCTGATTTTTCAAAAACAATAGGAGGTTTGACAATCTATCAAAAATCACATCAATTTTTAAATAAAAATTTTAATATATTAAGATTTATTTTTTATTATTTTAATATATTAAAATTTACTTTTTATTATTAATCCAAGGTATTTTATTCTATGTTGCAGCCTGTATAATGCAGCTCAGTATTAAATATTTTAAGTATAGAGACTATTAACCAAAAATGAAGGAAACTATTTCAAAGGCTAAATTTAAGAAAATTATAAAATGATAGTTTTTTGTTACATAAATATTCCTTTCCTGACATGAAATTTTACATATAAATTGTATCTCACAAAAAAGAACTTTTATAAAATGTAACTGTACACAATAAATAACATTTAAGATTACAAAAATAAGCTTGCATGTTTTCCATGTATAAGAATAGGTGCACTAATTTGTGACATACTTTGGCAGAATAGAGTTAAATTATATTATTTCAGTAGAAAAATGCTTTTTGTTCAAGATTCAGAAACTGTAAATAATTGTTTTCTATAATTCAATAAGTATTTATTTTTTAGTTAATAAATAGGTAACATTACTCCCTCTAAGCAGAATTTTACAAAATATTCTAATTATAAGAATTATTTTATAGAGGCGGTCATGATTTTAAGTATTCTCAAAGGGGGAGGGGGAATACAAATTATCAAAAGATCTCGCTTCCCTAATTAACATTTGACATATTGACAAAAGTTAAGCGCTAATCATTTTTTATCATTTAATTGTATATTTAAATCTTGCTTACAAATTTATTATTTTATCAAGAAGTTATCAGTGAAGTCATGTGTTCAGCCATTAATTTACATTACTAACATTATAAACATCTTTAACAAAGTCTTTTCAAAATTTTAGGACACTTACAATCCATTATGCTACCATGATACTTATCATTCATATTGATTAAATGGTCATTTTGTAAGTGTTGTCATTTGATATGATTTGATATCTTTAAATTATACCAGAATTTTTAGCAAGCTGAAAAATTAAAAAGCAATAACTACACTTCTGAATAATTTAAACTTTTATTTCTAATACTCTAGCTAATTTATAAATTTAAAATATGTTTAATTTATAATGCATACAATTGATAATTATGAATATTTGCATCATTACTGTAAATAATAAACTAGTTACATAATGTGTGTTATTAGAAACAATTTTTACTAATTACAAAAATGTTGAAAATATTCATAAAAATATGACATATTAGAAATCTAATATATTTAAAACTTTATCTATTATGTTTCTAAAAATTAAAATAAAGATTTAAATTAATGGGAATGCATTTACTGCTTTTATATCATTCAGCTTCAGAATGATTAACCTATTAAGCTGTTATAGCCGGAGTGAACTTCAAAAATAAGCAGAAAAATCTTATGCTTTGTAAAAAGCAACACTAAGAACTGGCTATGCATATATATGCAAAATACATTAAAGATTTTATATTTTGCATTGTGGTAATGTCTGCAAAGGACAACGGATGACACATGCTATGACAATAGATGACGGTGTCATATAATATAAAGTAATGAACATAATGGTCTGGAAATTTCTGAAGATCTCGATAACAATGTATTAAACATGAATAAAATCTACCGAGTGTTTTTTTAAATTCAGTATACATGAAATGTAAAAGTTAGTCCATGTAACTAAAAATGAACTCTTTCCTAATCACAATAAATTATTTCAGCACTTGATATACATGTTTTTCACTCACACTGAATAAATTTCACACTTATAAAGAAATCAATTTATGTGTACATAAGTACATAAAGAAACCTGATATGAGGTTAAAAATTAAAAATAAAATTTTTATATCTGTCCTGCGCTATGGCTGCAGGATTGAAGTACAATAAACTTAAAGCATTTAAAGTTAAAAGTAAATTGGAGTCAAAGCAAGGCAACTCCTCAACAATATTAATAATTACAACAGTGTATAAGAGGTTTAACACAATATCTAAACAAATAAATAATAATTCATAGTAGTACAAACTCGAAAAACAAAAGTGCAAAAGAGAATATACAAGATAATAAAAACATAAAAATTAATCTCCTTTAACTGAAACTCTAATTCAGAGGCAGAAAATATATAACTATGAATTAAACATCAAATTAGCAATAGCCCGTTAGTTCCTCTTTTTAATTTGGACACTTTCTCTCTATTCTAAAAATAGTAATAGCTTTTTAGAAACTGCGTCACACCTGAAAACTAATTCCACATTACATCATCTTAACCTTCTGAATTGCATATAGTTCTTAACCAATCAGATTAAAGACAAATTTTACTACAAACACTACTGCAATTTAACTACACTCTCTCTTTCACCTTAATTTCCTGCCCTATGTTCTATGTGCTGCTCAGGTTGCTGTATCATTTGCTGTTTGAAAATGGGCTAAGTTTTAAAATTGTGAAGGTGTATAACACACCCATAATTCTAAGCTAAGCAAATACTGTGTCTCCAAAAGCGCTTTATCCAATAATAAAATTAAGTTGAATTCGGTCATCTCTGTCTGCAAGTCCATCATTTTTCATCTCCATGGCTCTGTCAATCTATGTGCACAGTTTGGGAATCAATAGGTCATCTGCACCATCGAACCATTACAGTTATGCTTTAGCCACCAGGATTTACACCTGTCTCGTGAAACTTCAGTGAAAAATTCTTCAATGGAGAATAAAAGTGCAGTTTACCTACAAAATTCAAATAAGTATGTGTGTTCATCTGCAAATTCAAAAGTCCGATGAAATGAAATGTGGTTTTACTACTCTAATTCAAAGCTAATCTGGTCTGTCAGTCACCTCTCCAAAATTTAGAAATAATAAAAACAAATTAATAAAAGTGTGCTTAATTCATCAAAGTGACTTCATGCTTTACAGATTTAGTGATTCCAAGGTCAACGATTTGTGTTTAATGTACTTCAAGTATGTGTGCCAGAAAATTACTATCCACTAAATTACACTTCCACTTCAAAATTATTACCTTCATGTGAACTTACTCAGGTTCATTTTCCAATTAAATAAAATTATTAAATATGCTGCAGACTCTACATTTTACACCTAAATTTTGTTTAAAATTTCTGCAAATTGATTATGTTGTTTTGAAAAAATATAAAATTATTGTTCAAGCAGTGAAAGCATAGCAACTCAATATTTTTTAAAATGGTTTTGAATACATGAATTTTGTGAGTTTAATCCTTTTTAAATGTCGCTGTCATAATTTACACCAAATATTTTTCTTGAAATAAATAATTTGATCATTCATAAACATAAATAAAATTGTTTCATAAAACAGAAAACTACTAATAATTCTTATTATTTTTCCTTTTACCTGTTCCTTTTTATACTAGATTAAAAGTATAGTACTCTTATGGAATTGAAAATGATATGGTATTAGAAATTCAAATTTTGCCAATCTGGTTAACAAATTAAAGAATTTTAAAATTTTACTTAAGTATGGTTATTAACATGAATAATCCATTTTACATTATTGTTTAAAAATCTAAATTCTAAGAATTATCGAATTATTTTTAAAATAAACTGAATATAAATATTGAAGGTTTTCAACTTATAATTTTTATACATAATTATTATTTATATATATTATATACATAATTATTATTTATATATTTGAAATTAATTTTGCCTAGGCCCCCTTGGCCACCGATGTAGAACACCGGTTAATTCAAGTGAATATGCTCATAAGGTGGATATTTTGGTACTTCAAGAAAGATGTAGGGTCTTCCAGTTTGTACCAATAAGTAAATTAAAAATATCATAATAAACAGCATAATTTCAGCAAAATTACTTCAAAATGATGTTAAATTGATTGAAAGTCAGTTACACCATTTTGAAATTTACTGTGATCATGCACAATAATTAATGCACATATTTACAATTTTTACATTTATAACATTGTGCGGAGAATTTTAAAAGGCCTTCCCTCAACAAATATAATTATAAAGATTCTAAATTTAATTAATATTGCTGTAAAATTATTATTGGCTGGTTGAGTTTTAGTTCCATTTACATCATCATAATTACGTAAAAATCATATGACACAGAATAATCTCGAAATGATGCAGTGCAGAGAGAGGTTACTATTTTTAGAATAGAGAAGGGAAATTTATGTTGCTAATTTAATCTTTAACATATTCTTTATTTTTCTTACATATCCCCCCCCCCTCAAGAAGAAAAAGGCGTACGAAGGAAAGGCTTTTTAAAGAGCAAGCGTAAAAGCACTAGCAAATGGGGAAGGGGTAAAAAAACATAAATCATACAATTTTGATCTTGTAAAAGCATAATTTATAAATATCAGTTTTCTACAAATAAATTCTATAGTATTTTAGAGTCCTGTTGAATTTATTCAGCATTTCAGTCCAAAAGTCTTATTTTTTTTAGAGTTCACATAATCATAATTCTTTCAGGGAAGGTTCTTGTTATCACAGAATATCACAAGATAAACTTTTACATTAATCATTACTTATAATTAAATGTAGCGCACATAAATATTTATGATACTTAATTTCCATATTGATAAATTATATTTTAACATCATAAATAACACCACAAGTATAATAGGAGTAACAGTTTCAGAAATTATGGTTTCACCGTTATTATCTTTCATTTACAATTCCTGATTTTACCAAACTGGAAGGCCTCGCAATACTTCTAAACAAACATATCCATCAATAGAGCTGCCCTCTTAAGCTAACCAGTGTGTTTTCTGCTTTGGTGGCCCAGGGCGCCTATGCAGTTACCTGAAAAGGCCTCCGTTTCTTGCATAAGGTAACTGGCCTTTGAGAACTGCACTAATACATTCCACAACAAAAAAGTATAATATTATATATATATTATATATATATATATATTATATATATATATATATATATATCTATATGGGTTCACTCTTTTAAGATACTTATACTAAAATTAATATTAGGAGATAATGTAATCAAGATTTCTTTAGTAAATAAATTATCATTATCTTACTTTGTAGCTATTGCGCAAGTATTAGAATAACTTATTTACGAACTTAGAGAATTTAAGATCATATATATGTCATAATAAAAGCACAAAGAAAAGATGGAGCAGTGTCGATGCATGATTAGATCCATATTGAAGAAGAATTTTGATTGCGTAGAAGAACTTGGCAGTCAAGGCAGTTTTAATTCCATTTTTATTTCCAATTGATATTTGTGGCCACAATCACTTGGCACTCTAATCGTGCCTTTCGACACAAGATTTACATTTTTATATATTGTTAAGATAGAAAGCAAGCCAGCGAAATTACATCTTAGCAGAGTAAAGAGCAAAGCTGAAGTGCGTAGTTATGAAAGATGGAAGCACGCGAAGAGAAAAGTTTTGGTTTACAATTCGGTGATTGGTTGTCAAGAGGCATCTGGTATTAACGGTTACGTAAGATCGCATGATTAATTTGAATCACGCAATGCAGATAAGTTATTACGATTTTAGAATAGAGAGGAAGAATTAATGTTTATAGTTATATTATAATTCTGATTCATACATTTTCATCTTACATATATATATATACACACACACTCATAAAATGAGAGCCTCCAACATTATCTTCAACATTGATTATTATCAACTCATAAAATGAGAACCTCGAACATAAAGAGGGTAAAAGGAACATCTGTAGAGAGGTAATTACAGGCCTCTGTTTAGGAACCCAGTACTCCCTCAAAATACTCTATACTTAACACACACCCATTAATTTTAACATGCATTTACCATAATTTTATAGTACTTATCTGTACTAATTTCACTTATTTTTTACATCTACTTCATTTTTAGAATAAAATTCATATTCAAAATTTTCAACAAAAATTCAAAATATAATTATTTATCTTAATAGCCTTCCTTAAAAATAATTAAAAATCTAAGAATTCTTTACTTGCTTAACTAAATTATTAGAATTCTAATTTCTAATTTCATTAAATTATATTTTTTCATATCACAGGGTTACATTTTTAATGTCCCATTTATTAAGAAAAAATATCAGTTCCCAATGGAGAATTAATTATGCAAAAACAGAAGCAAAAATAATTTTCTGGCACCTACTTTAAGTGCAAATTTAATCCCATAACTGCGAATTTATTCGCATAAGAGCTGGATCAAGATATGGCGTTCGGTGACCTTGAAAGCACTGGTAAGATTTGAAACGTCAGCCTCAGAAACCATTCATCATTTTACTATAAACAAATGATGAATTAATTTTGAAAGGCTAGTTTTTTTTCCACATTTTCATATCGCTGTTCAATTACTACGTTGCACTTATTAAATCACTGTATATGCTAGATTAAATTTCGAAGAATGGATTTTGACTTAAACATTTAAAACTTTTAACATGACTTGCTGATTCCAGGTTGTGCACATAGATTGACGGAGCCGAATATATCTTGAAGATTATAACATGAGGACAATAATTAACTAATTCGCTTTTACAATCGTAGCCACAATTTTGATGATAACACTTCTGCGGAGCACAGGTACACTTTGATGACTTAAAACACTTTTCCCTAAATATATGTGATAGTCGTACACTTCATTTTCACTGACATTAGCACTTTTGGACTTGCAGATACTCAATATCCATTATGAATTTCGGTTACACATGGGAGTTTGAAGAGATGGCTGGTTATTGCAGACACTGTGATGGCATTTCCACTGGAATTCCAACGCACAGGACATGTATCCTGTCAACTCAGGTCTAATAAAAATAAAGTCAGCAGTAACTGAAGGGCAGAAGGAGGAATTTTGATGGCTTAGAAGTGTTGATCTATAATGACTAGGAAATTGAAGACGAAGGCAGATTAAATCTTCAGTTTTATTTTTAGCAACAAGTTAAGGCACATTAAATGTGCCTGTTCCAAAAGGCTTATATTTTTTATAACTTTGTAGCAAGAAAGCAGCAGCAGACAGACAGCAGTATAGCTAGGCCAAAGCGTGGAAAGCAAGTGTGTAATATTCAGGTCAAACTGAGTTAGTTTTGGTTTTCAAAACATTTTGATTAGACAGTTAATATTGCTGTAAAATTATTATTGGCTGGTTTAGTTCCATTTACATCATCATAATTACGTAAGAATCATATGACATAGAATAGTCTCGAAATGATGCAGTGCAGAGAGAAGTTACTATTTTTAGAATAGAGAAGGGAAATTTACATTGCTGATTTAATCTTTAACATATTCTTTATTTTTTCTTACACACACACACACACACACACACACATATATATATATCAATCACAGCATAATATAAAGTATTATAATTAACATACCTTATTTTTAATTTGATTTGGTGTGTCTGTTAAAAATACAGAGCTGTTTGGATCACTTGCGCTCATCTTTGTTTGAGCCCCTTGAAGAGCAGGAAAAAATTCAGAGTGCAGAAGGGCTGGCTTAGGTAAACCTAATCTTGGAGCAACATCTCTTGTCATACGAAAATAGGGATCCTTAGATAAGAAAGGATAGATAAGAAAAATTATTAAAAATTAGAGAAAGTAAAAGAGAGAGGGAAAGGAGAAAAAAAAAAAAAGCAAATGTTTTCATATTTATAAATAAAAATACATGATTACATTAGAACTCCAATTATTGAAGTTTTAGTGTTTTTCGGGCTCAATGCAATAAATAAATAATAATAAAGAGTGTCAAAATAGACAATCTATAGACTTTTAGCAATAATTCAAACCATGAAGATATGAACACATTTAAGCTCAGCTGCCTTGATTTTTGCCTGCTTTGATTTAAAAATCAGTTGGTTTTTAGTTTTTGCACTACTTTAGCTGGTGATAGGTGCGATATGGGATATTTTTTTTACCTGTAATGTTACACCTGATTCAGCCTTTGGAACAACATATTTTAGAAAAACCTAAGAAAACCAAGTTCTTGAAACATTTATTACAAAATCTAGAAAATAACAAAACTGTTGTTGAAAGCCTAAAACAGGATAATCTGAAAGATGTCATTTACTGGCTGGGAGAATCGTAGAACGAAAGGAAACAATCTACCATTCTGAAAAGCTGGAAAAATGTTTCACTGAATGATGGCAACAGAAGAAAGGCACAAAATTAAAAAATAGATGATGAAGACTTGGGGGCTATCTTAAATCAGCCACAAGTTACAGAAGGAACAACAAATGAAAATATGAATAATTGGATGCAAGATGATGAACAATTTGAACTTCTCGTAAGGCCATTATAAATTTAGTCAAGCATACTGACAGTTTGGCCTTTTAGCAATATCATGCAGTATATAATCCTTGGTATAGAGTTTACAGTAACTAGAAAATAATTCCAAAATCCTATAATTTACAAAGAGGAGCTAAAGCAACAACTATTAGAGGAGCTAAAGCAACAACAATCAGCATAATATTCAAAAATTTGAAGGACTAGTTTTGAAGGTTTAAATACAGACTATTCTTCAGCTGCAAAAGTGGTAATGATGAAAAACAAGCCAGAAATAAGATAAAGCGATAAGGAATGACAGGAAGAAAGTTAAGCTACTGACATCATCTACTGATGAAAAAATAAAAAGAACTATGAAATAATTTCTTTAAAAGCTGAGTGTAAAGCTGGACTGGAAATGGGATCATTAATTAGAATTGAAAGATTTTTATGAATGTGAAATGCCTCTAATTTACCAATTGAAAATGTTTTCTGAATAACTTTGGTTGCAGAAAAATGGAAAATATGATTTTCTAACAGGGAATTTATGTGCTTCTTATTTTCTAACATATGTCTCATGTTCGTTCCTTAGTACAAAATTTTAAGGCTCTCTTAGTTTCACCAATGTAAATTAAACCACATCTGCAAAGAATCCTGCAAATATCGTAAGAGTTTATATTTGTAATGGGGGTCCATAAGTCAGTCTGGAAACAGCAAATTTTACTGTCAGAAGAAAAACGACTCAAAAGTTGAATGCCTGTTAAAATACATGAAATTTAATAGATAAGCGATGGAAAGGAAGGAATGACAATAGAATTCTTATAATCTCCAAAAACAAAGAAGGTGCGCTTTGATGTGTTGACATACAAATTTTTTATCCTCTCAGTAAATAATGCCAGGTGAAAATATCCATCAATAGCAACTGCCTTTAAAAGTATTTCAGTTCTTGATCAAAAGAACCAAATTGAGCCAAATTGGAGAAGCAAACTTGAAGTGCATGGAAAATGGAGGAATAAAATGAAGCTAACTTCTGCTTAGTCAAATTACATGATCTGAAGTATGGTGGAAGCAAATAAATGAAGGTTTACAGTAAACAGTATTACTGAAGTTGGATATGTTGCATGTGACCAAGATGTTGAGGAACAAAAACTTTATTTAAATCATCTTTATTATCATCAAACAGAGAAAAGGTTTCATCAGCGTAGCAGAACCACACACAGAAGTTTAATATTTCAAATAATTTTGATTAATAATAATGCATGGATACATCTAAAAGAGCTAATCCTTTCATAATAATGCATATAGATATCATCAGGACTAAGAAAGTTTCCCATGGCTAATCCCTTCATGATAATGCATATAGATAACAGTAAGAATATGACTAAGAGAGCTCCCCATGGCTAATCCTTCAATTTGGTTATAATGTTTGTTTTAGACAAAACTGAGTAAGGGAAATTAAATCATAAATTGCAACACAAGAGAAATGAAATTTATGAAGTTTCATTTCTAGACATTTAAGTACACTTTCCACTGGAACAATGGTGAATAATGATTTTACATCAAAAGAAACCATGATGAAATTTCTAGGGGAAATGCATATTTATTCTTTATAAGCTTTACTGAATTTTTATGGTGTATTTGTAATTAACTAACAAAGTCAAAAATCTAGAAACTACATATTTAGCTCATGGGTACGAGGTAATGACTAAAATTGATACACTAGGATGGAGTGGAATACCCCTTTTATAAATTTAGAGCATATAATTTGGCACAATTCACAGCAGATGGGATAAGCGATTTTTTTAGTGGTTTGGAAGGATCCACTTACAAAAGAAAAAAAAAAAAAAAAAAAAAAAAAAAAAAAAAAAAAACTAATCCCCTAGTTCTGCAAATTTATGAATATGATGCTGATTATTATTGTTTTTAACTCCTCCAATAACTGTTATTTAGCATGTTATTTTAACTCAGATCCAACAAAGTATACTTTAAGTTGAAATATGAAACAGAAAATTATAAAGAAAATAATGAGATACAGGGTGATCAAAAAGTCAGTATAAATTTGAAAACTTAATAAATCACGGAATAATGTAGATAGAGAGGTAAAAATTGACACACCTACTTAGAATGACATGGGGTTTTATTAGAAAAGCAATAATCTGATCAGAAAAGCAATAATTAGCATAACAAATTAAGATAAAGCAAAGATGATGTTCTTTACAGGAAATGCTCAATATGTTCACCATCATTCCTCAACAATAGCTGTAGTCGAGAAATAATGTTGTGAACAGCACTGTAAAGCATGTCCGGAGTTATGGGGAGGCATTGGCGTCGGATGTTGTCTTTCAGCATCCCTAGAGATGTCGGTTGATCACGATACACTTGCGACTTCAGGTAACCCCAAAGCCAATAATCGCACGGACTGAGGTCTGGGGACCTAGGAGGCCAAGCATGATGAAAGTGGCTGCTGAGCACACTATCATCACCAAACGATGCGCGCAAGAGATCTTTCACGCGTCTAGCAATATGGGGTGGAGCGCCATCCTACATAAAAATTGTACGTTCCAGCAGGTTTTTATCAGCCAGGCTGGAGATGATGCGATTCTGTAACATATCGGCGTACCTCTCACCTGTCACGGTAGCAGTTACAAAACCAGAATCACGCATTTCCTCGAAGAAAAAAAGGCCCGATAACAGTTTTTTTTTTTTTTTTTTTTTTTTTTTTTTTTTTTTTTTTTGTTCTAATAAAACCCCATGTCATTCTAAGGATGTGTGTCAATTTTTACCTCTCTATCTACATTATTCCGTGATTTATTAAGTTTTCAAATTTATACTGACTTTTTGATCACCCGGTATATACTTTCATGCAAAAAAAGATATAATAGATTTTGCAAACAGGCTGAAAGAAAAATCTGTACCTAATACATGAAAAATAATGTCTCAAATAAACTAAGAATTACATTTAAGAAACTGATAGAAATAAATACAATGTACTCTCAACTATCTGGGCTAAAGCTGAGAAAACAGGTCATAGATAATAATTCAAAAATGCAGATATTCCAAATTATCAACTTTCATGCATAATGTATATGTTTATTTCTTAGTTGAATGTGCAACACACACAGATAATCTGCAAATCAGATAATTCACATCCAGATAATTGAGAGTACACAGTAGCATTATAAATCAAACAGGATAGTTTCATCATAATCAATCAAAAAACTGAATACCTGATCAATAGCACAAGGTATAAGGCAAGGGATATCAGCTTTCTTTCCAAATATACTTGGAAATGATGAACTAAATGAGGGAGCAGCTTGAACTGCAGGAAATGCTATTTTACCAATGGAATCACTATCTCCAAATCCAAAAATCCCTTTCACTTGATTAAATGTAACACTTCTTTGCACTCTTACGACATTTTGATAAAACTGCGGACACTCTCTGTACAAAGAGAATATTTTTAGTAATATAACTTTTGATAAATTATTTAATGATTAAACATGGTTTCAACATGGTTCGTACACATTTCTGCGTACAGAAATTAAAGACTATTAATGAAATAAATTAAGAACACATGAGCAAATGGGAATTGAATAAATTAAATAAAAAATATTATGTATGCCTGATCTTCATTTTTGGTTACACCATCCTAAAAATAAAATAGATCCATAAGTATGATGCATAATTATTAAACATGAATTAATTAACATAATTATTAATAAGGTTGAGAACAAAATAAACTTTATGAAATTTATAAAGCTTCATGTAGAGTTTCAGGGGATGTTCCAAGTTTTAGATGAATTTTTACATTTTTGTGTTTTATCTTGTGATCACAATAAGGATTAATGAAAGACAATAACTATCTTAATATGCAGAGATAATTTCTGAGGGTAAGCAATTAGGGTACAATTTGGTTTCGGGGACCGTAAAAAATTGCAGCGGAAATGCATGCGCAAAAGCGCCAAATCTAGCAAACGCGACCATTTAACAGCGCGCCAAATCTAGCATACGCGCTGATTTCAGATTGCGAAGTTTAGATAGTTCTATATTTCTTAAGACGCCATTGAAATACTAGTTTAATTTTTTAAATCCTTTTTTGATATCCTATGGATTTAACAATTTGGGAATTGCCCATGACGAAAAGTCTGCAATAGAATATTTTCAAAAGAAAGGCATCATTCAATATAGAAAATTACATTTGAACAACCAACGAGATGAAATAATGCTTTAGCGATAACTCGGTAGCGAAATAGCGATGCAGGAATCCATTCAGTTATGTTTAGTTTTTTTTTTATATAAATTACAATAATGATCTGAAATAGTTATTTACTCGTATGCTTCCATTCAGTTATGTTAAGCCTTTTTTATATAAATTATAATAATAAAAAAGCATTATATTAAATTAAATTTTATGTAAATTAAAACAATAATCTTCAGATAGTTATTTACTATTATACTTCCTTCCTATCGTTAGGGTTGCCGCAACTAATTTTGGCAGCACTGGCATCAATAATAGTTTGGCGATTTTTTACGGTCCTCAAAACGGAATAGTACCGCAATTAGTTATAAATAATTAAATTAGGTAACCTTGGCCACTATTAAATTTTATTTATTTTTAACAATATTTGTTAAAAAAGCCCTATTAAAATCATAATCTAATAAAATTTCACAATTTAAAATACATGTAACTTATTGATTCTCAAATGATATTATGATATTTACACATTGAAAGCTACAAAAATTTATATTTTGTAACAACAATACTCACCAAAATATGTATGTGTCTTTTTAATTTGAAGACTTCTCAGACATTTTGGCTAATTTGTATTGATTTTCTTCTCTTTAAGCATCTTTTCTAACAATAAAAAATTTGCCTCAATACGCAAAGCAATATTCTCACTAGTTTCTGCGTGCTTTATCTTCTAACTTGTCAACCTCTCTACAATGTACCTATGAGGGTTTACTGGATCTGGTAAAAGTTAAATAGTCCTAAACCCCCCGACAGACAAGAAGCAAATTATTGCTATGTCTGAAACTAACTATTGCCAGACAAAGGTTTAAATAAGCCTCTTATTTAAAAAGAACTTAGAATATAAAGGCATGCTATGATGCTAACAAAATCAATTATAGTTCGCGGTGATGTAATTAAACAAGAACAGTCAAATTCAAATTAAAAATGTGGACTAGTGGTCACAGACTATACAATTTAATTTTAATTTAAGCTGACTCAGTAACTCTACCCATAAGAAATAGAAATGGGAAATTAAAGTAAAGGCTAAAATTATAAACAACTGGGTAATTTACAAAATAAAAACTGTACATATCTTTGAAGAATAAATTTCTTTATGTTTACAGTTTTTTTCTTCATCACATTTCCTTTTCATTTTTGAATTTTTGGATTTAATTACATTTAACCCTAAATGGATTTAGAATATATAGTAAAAGCTGCTAATTTTAATTCTTTAGTAATATGAACATTTAGAAGAAACATGAAATATACACTGCTGGCCACCGTAAATGCATATAAATAACATGAAATTTACAAAATGCATTAGCGGTATATGCGGTTAGTATATGCAAACAATTAGAATTTCAGCACAGACACACATAATGTGCGCCTGTGGCGCCACTTCAAAGCGCTGTTTAAGGCTTGGAGTCCTCGACGATTTCAAGTTCAGCAATTTAATCAAAAATTTCTGTTATTCTAAAAAAAAAAAAAAAAAAAAAAACTAAGTGCATTTAGAATATATAGTAAAAGCTGCTAATTTTATTTCTTTAGTAATATGAACATTCAGAAATATACACTGCTGGCCACCGTAAATGCATACAAATAACATGAAATTTACAAAATGCATTAGCGGTATATGCTGTTAGTTTATGCAAACAATTAGAATTTCAGCGCAGACACACATCATGCGTGCCTGTGGCGCCACTTCAAAGTGCTGTTTAAGGCTTGGAGTCTTCGACGATTTCAAGTTCAGCAATTGTGTTTTTCTTGTGGTTTAAAAAGAAAATTATCAATTATGCCTTGTAGTAAACAGCGATCATCGTTTGATCAAGTATCTGAGTTCGACAGAGGAAGGGTAGTGGCCTACCGAGAGTGTGGATTATGTTTGGGATATCGGTAGTCATGTTGGACGAAATCAAACAACTGTAATGTGGATATGTGACCGTTAGGTGCAGGAGGGTACGACGGACCGACGTGTTCAATCGCATCCACCTCAGTGCACCACTTCACGTGATGACAGGAACATTGTGCGCATGGCAGTGATGGATCGCTCAGTCACATCACGAACCATAGCATAGCACATTCAGTCTGTAATGCATCATCCAGTGTCTGCGCGTACTATTCGACACTATTTACAGTAGAGTGGTCTGTCCGCAAGACGTCCATTACTTCGTCTACCCTTAACGCAGAATCACAGACGTCTCCGCTGCCAATGGTGCCATGAAAGAAGGATGTGGACGGCAGAATGGAATGAAATTGTTTTTACTGACGAGAGACGCTTCTGTCTGCAACACCACAATGGTCGGATTCAAGTCTGGAGACACTGTGGAGAGAGGATGCTGAACAGCTGCGTTATACACTACCAGACTGGTTCTACACCCGGAATTATGGTATGGAGCGGTATTGGATATCACTCTCGCACTCCTCTAGTATGCATTGCTGGTACTTTAAACAGCCAGCACTACATCTCCAAGGTGTTGGAGCCAGTTGTCCTTCCTTACCTTCAGGGCTTTCCCACAGCCATATTTCAATAGGATAATGCGCAACCACATATGGCATGCATTATCCAAGGGATCTTCATCAATCGACAGATTGAATTTCTTCCCTGGCTGGCGCTCTACGGATCTTTCGCCGATAGAAAATATGTGGTACATGGTTGCTGAACGATTGACCCAGATTACATCCCAAGCTGCAACACCAAATCAACTTTGGCAACATGTGGAAGCTGCTTGGTCTGCTGTAACCCAAGAACACATCCAAAGTCTCTTTGAATCAATGCCGAGGTGTGCAGCAGCGGTGATCTCCAACAATGGCGGCTACGCTGGCTACTGATTCTGGAAGGAACCACACTTCACAGAAGTCTATAAATTTAATCATTTGATAATTGGTCACCATGTTATCTACTAAATAAATTTTGTTGTGATATCTCATGCCTTTCTTGGTGTTGCAATTTGGTTGGCCAGCACTGTATACGGTACGGGCTGGTTACTGAGCTGGTGTGGCAGAATTTTTAGAATTTAGTGACACACTTAGCAATAAAACCTAGAAATGGTAAAAGTTTTAGAATTTCGAGCAGGCATTGGCAGCAAAATTCAGGATCCACAGAGACTGAATCGGGTGGGAAAATGCCTAGCACCAGCTCTGTGTATGATGCATTAAGATATATTTGCCAAATTTTTTAAATTCTTTCAAATTAAAAGTTTTCAATTTCTTTATTAATAAAAAAATTCCTTTCTATATAACGCCTGTCCATGTGATAAGATTAGAAGCACCTTTGATATTTTCCATGCTTCCGCCTAGTGAAAAGTAGAGAAAATATAAGGAAGATAAACATGTTAAGAAAAAGATTCTAGCATCAGATGTAAAACATTCAAATATTACATTTTCATTGTTCTTCCAGATGTTCTCCAAAAAGTAAAAAATTCATCGCAAACTTTTTGTAAAATACACCATTACAAGTCAATACCAGACATTTTTCATTTTGTCACATCTGGAATCTTCTAGAGTCATGGGTCTATAAATCTTGCCTTCAAATCCTATTAAGTTTTCTAAGCTGAAATGCCTAAAATTTTAAAGAAAAATTATCCCTACCAATTCAATTCTGTAACAGCAAAAGGACAGAATTTTGTGGGGGAAGAAAAAAAAGGGGGAAAGAGTGTAAAATTAATTTTACTGAGAAAACTCGTGCATATTCTGAGAATTCTGAATATTCTGAGACAAGTACATGGGAATAACTCTTACTATGAAAAAATTAAAAAGAAGACATTTTTAATTAATTACATACCTAATTTAGTTTTTGCTAAGAACTTTTTGTAAATTGTGCTTTATAGCATTATATCTTCATTTTTCAGATTCAAAATATTGTATAATAAGACGTCAAAATGGAACATTATTATATGATGCCAAAAAATAAAAATGCTGTATTTTAATGTTATTTTTTAAATATAATTTCAATATATTACCATTATTTTTATGAAATTTATCAATGTTAAAAAATATTGTTGAAAAATTCCCAGATCTTAGAATTAAAAATTTTTCTATAGAAACTGATTTTGAAATCATTATGTTTAAAATGTTGATAAGTCGCCAAATTTAGAACCATTTAATAAAAGATTTCACACCCCCAAAAGTCAAAAGTTGTTTTCGCCGTAAGAGAGCTCTTCATTAGAAAAAATTAACTTTGAAAAGCTTAACCCATGAACCCTTTCACTGATTCAAAAGACAACCCTATATGTCAGCAAATCGCCAAAAATATTCCTCCGAAATGCTAATTCCCACTCAAAATGACAGTCGTAAAAACAGACAGAAATTTCAGATGATTAAAATTAAGGACCTTCTGCCGATTTTGGCTGAAATTAAGGACTTTTAAAGACCGAAAATCGATTCCAAGAAACCTAGGGATTTTTAAGGACTCTTAAGGATTGTACCTGTTTAATTGCAACAATTTTTGCATTTCATTAAAAAATAATATCAATTTAATCAAAAGCAGGTTCTGAAACTCAACATATATTTAGTTTAAAAATTATCCAATTAACATGGCAAACTATGTTTTTATGCAGAAAGATAGAGAAACTTATTTTACCGCATTGTACACAACTACTTTTTCAGATCAAAGGCATGTGTTTTCAGGAGATTAATTTGCATTAGACTAATATATATATAATTTAAACTCCCCTAAGGAGAAAGTAATCTTGTTCCCTAAAGAAAGAAGACTATTTTTCTCCTTTTAGAGGAGGGGAATTGCCTAACAGAATTATTCTCAGAAAGGTGAACAGCCTGTATATGTGTGTGTGTGTGTAACTTATATTAATCATAAAATATAAAATGGTTATAACAATTTTATTTGTGAAGGACTGTGTTTAACACAGTGTTTGTTTATATGATCAAACAATTTAAGTAGAATTCAGTAACTTTTAGAAACAATAAAATTACTATAAAGTAATCTAAGTTTTATTACATTAATAATGCTAAATTATACTTCAAATTAAATTTTTCCTATAAAATTGATCAAACCTTAAAATAATTTCTGACTTGAATGAAATTTTTTTTTTAAATTAAAAATGTCTCCAATAACTTACCCCATATACTGGAAATCAGAAAAAATAAATGTTTTTTCGATATCAAATCCACAAGCAATAATATCTTTCGCATTTTCAAATGCCAGTCTCTGTGCTTCTTCTACTGTTAAGTCTTTCCATAAGAATTTTTCATCATCTGTTAATTGAATGACCAAAGGAACATCAAATGTTTCTTGAAGCCATCTATGAAATACAAATAATATTTTAATAACAATTTATAAAGAACATTTTTATAAGATTTCTTTTCTATATGTTCTATTATAAGGAAAGCTCAGATTGTTACTGCCTTTAGCTGTAATTGCGCCAAACTTGGCGATCTTACCATTAAAACTGAATGCCGCCAACTAGGCGGGAAAATTGTTAGTTCGTTCGTCGGCAGACACAAAGTCACATCGGTGTTATTTGTCGAGAATTTCGGTTCTAAGTAATGTATCACTTATATTATTGTCGAGTTTTAATAAAACTACTAAAAGACATTATCGCCTCATACAGTCCACATTTCGACACAAACATTTTTTGGTTCTTCGAGCCGGAGCTTGGAACTGGCTTGTGAAAATTTTGTGTAGAACTTTAGTTTCGTTTAAAATTCCCTGTCACATTGGATATGGATGAACGTTCATTTTCTTGAGAATTCTTTGTCTCTGGATATCGTTATATAGTGATCAGCTCATCGTTACCCTGAAAAAAATGGGTAAGTGAATTTTGATTTTACTGTTTTCAGTTAAGAACTGTATAATTTAAGAATTTGAATCCCTACATTTGTTTAATTTATATATTGCTTTAAATTTCGAACTGTTTGAAAAATTGTTTTATTTGAATATTCAATATGGAATTAAAAAAAATAAAGGGCTTCTTTGCGAACTATTACTACGAAGGTATTAGATAAACTCCAAATTGAAACTGAAAATTCAAATCCAAACAGTGAGGTTATAGAAGAACAACTTGCTCAGTTAATAGCTAAAGAGCAAGCCTTATATTTAGTAGATAGCGAAATAGAAAAAGTTATTGCAATTGATGATTTGGAAGATGAAATTAATAGAACAGAACAGTATAAAGAAAGAATAATTCCTTTGAAAACGCGAGCGCATAGACTGTTAAGAACTTAAGACAGCAACCAATAATAGAAAGTCAGAATTATTCAACTGTTACAGATACTGGGAGCAGAATTAAATTACCGGATATACCTTTGCCAACATTTTCTGGCCAATACTAGGATTGGAACAATTTTAAAATTCAATTTAATAGCATAATTTCTAACAATTCTCACTTATCGGAAGTTGAAAAACTTTATTATTTGAAATCGTCTCTACGAGGTGTAGCAAAACAAATTGAAACAGAAGACGAATCCTTTCAATCATTATATAAAGCATTAGAAAATCGCTTTGAAAATAAGCGCTTAATTGTTGACAGACACATTAACTCCATTATAAACATGGAAAAAATAAATCATGAATCGCCGGTCGAGCTCAGAAAGTTAGTGGATAATATTTCGGGAAATATTAGAGCTCTTAAGCATTGGAGCATTGAAAGGCATACGTTTTCGGATCTCATACTGATAAATTTAATTCTCCCTAAATTAGATAAGGAAACTCATAAATTATTCGAAATGAGTTTGAACAAAGCCTAACTGGGCAGACTTTATTACATTTCTTGAAAAAAGATGTCAGGTTCTTGAAAACACAAGTAAAATTACCAATCCAAATTCTAAGTCTTTCACTCCTAATATCAAGGCAAAGGGATTTTTAGTTAATTCGAAACGAACTTTGACAAACAATTGCAAATTATGTAAATCGACGCATGAAATTTATATGTGTGATGAATTAAAAAATTTAGCTGTAAACAAGCGTTTTGAGACTGTAAAAAATTTGATCTCTGTATTAATTGCCTTAAACCATCGCATAAGGTGACAGAATGCAAATCAAATAGTTTGTGCAGTTTATGCAATTCACGCCATCATAGCCTGTTGCATTTTCCTCAGCGGAAAACATTTGCCGTCAAAGCGCAAAAAGAAAATCAGAAGGATTCCCGCGCAGATCCCCCCCCAACCGGAAGTAGCTTCTCACACGTCTTCACTCACCGCCTCCTACGCCCAAATTTTCAAAACTGTTTTCAAAACTGTTTTGAAGAATTTCAAAACTGTTTTGCTGGCGACAGCTGTAATTTATATCAGGAACAGAGACGGTGAACTTTGTCCTTGAAGAGCAATCATTGACAGCGATTCGATGTGTAATTTCATGACTGTTGAATGTTCAACCAGACTTTGTTTAGATCGTGAGAAAATAAATGTTTCGGTTGCTTGCTTAAATGATAAAACCTTCAATATAAAACAAAAACTTAATGCCACTATCCTTAATAAAGAAGAAGAATATTACAGAAACTTAGAATTTTTAATAGTGCCTAAAATAAATTAATTTTTAATAGTGCCTACCCAGAAATTGGATATCACATCCTTAGGAAATTTGAATTCTATTCAACTTGCTGATCTTGAATTTTACAGACCTCGAAAGATTGATCTGCTAATAGGTGCTGAAATCTTTTTTGATTTATTAAAATGTGAAAAAATTTCACTGAAAAACTCTGCTCTTATACTTCAAAATTCAGTATTTGGGTATATTATCAGCGGTAAAATTGATAGCATAACGAAACAAGATTCAGCATATTGTGGGTTAATCCAAGAACTGGACGATTTGAATCAAAGCATAAAGAATTTTTGGGAAATTGAAAGGATAGACGAAGATAAACCTGGGAAGAGTTCAGAAGAATTATTATGCGAAAATCATTTCTTAAGCACACATTCTAGAGATGAAAATGGAAGGAATGTGAAGAGCGAAGGACATTTACATCTAGGAAATTCTAAAGATACCGCATTAAAGAGATTAAATTCGTTATGGAGCAAACTGCTGAAGGAACCAAAATTATTATCCTTATATCAAGATTTTCTCAAGGAATACAAAGCTTTAGGCCATATGGAAGAAATACACGAAGATGTAAATTTGGAACCATCATATTATATTCCGCATCATGGAATCAAAACAAACTCTTGTCTGGACGATATATTCCATGATGTGGAATATATCGTCCAGACAAGAGTTTGACAAAACTGAGAGTGGTATTTGATGCTTCTGCGAAGACATCAACTGGTACATCTTTAAATGAGCAGTTACTGAATGGAGGCATAGTACAGGAAGATTTGTTTTCCATCATGATAAGGTTCAGGAAACATACTTTCGCATTTATTGCTGATATAGAGAAAATGTAGCGTCAAATTTTAATAGATCCAGACCAGAGGAAATTTCAACGAATTCTTTGGAAGAGAAATTCCCAAGAAGAAATCAAGACATATCAGCTGAATACCGTTACATATGGCACTACTAGTGCCCCTTTCCTTGCTAACTAGAGTCCTACGACACTTAGCTGAAGACGAAGGAAAGGAATTCCCTTTAGCTGTTTCAGTCGCACTTCAAGATTTTTATATGGATGATGTTCTATCAGGAGCAGAAGATTTAGAAAAAACTAAAGAACTGCAAAATCAGTTAGTGAATCTCTACAGTCGAGGAGGCATGAAGCTTCATAAATGGTTCGCTAATCACAAGGAATTGCTGATTAATGTTAATACTAAGGTTGAAGATTATTCGTTTTCCAATGAAATGAAAAATGAAACGAAGGTGTTAGGTATTTTATGGAATCCAGCTTCAGATGCTTTCACATTCAACGTAATTACAAATTTGCATGATTACTATACTAAGAGATATATTTTATCAGCTATTGCTTGAATATTTGATCCACTCGGTTTAATTGGACCAGTTATTACGAAAGCCAAAATTTTTATGCAGAAGCTTTGGCTTCTAAAAAATTGGCTCGAATGATGTGCTTCCCGAAACGGAATCTCGTGAATGAAAGAATTTCATCACGTCGATGCCTAAAATTAATGGTGTAATTATTAATCGAAAAATTTTGTCTAGCAACGCTGTTAAAAATTGAATTGCATGGATTTTCTGATGCTTCAGAATTAGCTTATGGAGCATGCATTTATGTCAAATATATATTGCAATCGGGTTCCAGTTTAGTAGTTCTTTTGTGCAGTAAATCAAGAGTTGTGCCGTTAAAATCGGTTTCCATCCCAAGACTTGAACTCTGTGGTGCAGTGTTACTATCGCAGTTAATGAATAAGGTGCGAAAGGCACTTAAATTGAACTTTGATAAGATATATATGTGGTGTGACTCATCTGTTGTTCTTGCATGGATTCGGAATTCTACACATGTGTTAAAGACATTTGTAGCTAACCGAGTTGCCAAAATTCAGCAACTTACACACGAGTTTCCATGGCAATATGTGAAGTCAGAAGAAAACCCTGCTGACTTGATTTCAAGAGGTGTTAGCCCAGATCAAACTGAACATCTTAAAATTTGGTGGAATGGACCTTTATTCTTAAGAACAGAAGTAGTTGATTTGTCCCTAACTGTGTCTCAGTCAGATTTAGATGAGATTTACCGCAAGGAACTAAAGCAGCTATCCAATCAAACTACTTCAGTGAATAATGACTCTAAACTTGACTTTCATTCAACTCATTTGCAAAACTTTCTAGTCGAACCATTAACTAATGATCTGTTTTATAATATTCTAAATATTACAAATAACTATACTAAATTATTGCATATTGTAAGTTATATTTTCAGGTTCGTTTATAACAGTCAACCAAGAAAAAAGAAGGGGAATTTTATCAGTAGAGGAAGTTAATGGGGCAGAGTTGTATCTGATTCAGGTAACTCAGAGTGAAATATTTCTGGAGGATATTAAAAACCTGAAGGGGACATCTCAGGTTACAGGTAAAAGCTGTTTGAAATCATTGAACCCATTTTTTGATGAAAACAGTTGCTAAGATTAGGGGGACGTTTGCAAAATGCTTATTTAAATTTTACACAGAAGCATCCCATTATTCTACCAGCTAATCATCAGTTTACTAAATTAGTAATGGAACATTACCATAAGAAATATCTGCATATAGGTCCACAAGCATTGTTGAATTGTGTCAGACAAAAGTTTTGGCTTCTTAGAGGTCCAAAACTGGCACGACAAATTGTGCATAAATGTGTAGTTTGTAGAAGGGCTAAACCAATTCTAGTTGAGCAAATAATGGGACATCTTTTTCAGGAGCGGGTGAGAATACGTGCACCTTTTAATTGCACAGGGATCGATTTTTGTGGTCCATTTTATATAAAGTATAAACATCAACAAAAGGGACAATTTCAAAAGATATATGTGGCTATTTTTGTTTGTTTTGTCACTAAGGCAGTGCATTTTGAATTAGTATCAGATTTGTCATCTGATGCCTTCATTGCTGCATTAAAAAGATTCTTCTCTTGTAGGTGTAGAAGCTCGATTATATTTTCTGACAATGCAACGAATTTTGTTGGTGCTAGTAGAGAATTGATTAAATTGTATAATCTTGTTAAAAACCCAGATGAATCTTTAGGAAATTACTTGACTTCTGAAGAAGTAAAATGGAACTTTTTGCCTCCTAGAGCTCCCAATTTTGGAGGACTTTGGGAGGCAGGAGTCAGATCATTTAAATATCACCTTAAACGTGTCGTAGGGGAAACAAAACTTACGTATGAAGAATTTCTGACAGTGATTCTTCAAATAGAAGGTATATTAAATTCTAGGCCCATCACTCCATTACCGGCAGATGACGATTGTATTGAAGCTCTAACTCCAGGTCATTTTTTAATTTTTAGACTTATTACAGCAATTCCAGAACCAGAACTTCTAGAGAAGCCTGAGAACAGATTAAGCCGCTGGCAAAAAATTACCAAAATTATCCAGGGTTTTTGGAAAAAGTGGAGTAATGACTACTTAAATCACCTCCAACAAAGAAACAAGTGGCAGTTTCAAAAAAAATAATGTTAAAATTAATTCTGTAGTTTTGATAAAGGAGGATCATTTGCCCATTAATAAATGGTCCCTTGGTCGTGTTGTAGAGGTTTTCCCTGGAACTGATGGCAATATAAGAGTAGTCACTGTTCGAACCTCAAATGGTCTGTTGAAACGACCAGTAACAAAATTATCTATTTTAATGTAAATAGCTGAATTCTTGTGAATTTAGAAATAGTGTAATATCTTGATATTTTTTTTGTATTATTTAGCATATATTTACTATATTAAGTTGATTGTAATGTCATTATCATACATGTTTATTGCTGTGTTTTACAACCAATACGGAATGTTATGTATTTTTTTAAAGTAAGTATTTGTTGTTATAACTTAATTGATATTTTCTTGTATTATTTGTTGAATGAAATCATTCAACGGGGGGCAGAATGTTGCTGCCTTTAGCTGTAATTGCGCCAAACTTGGCAATCTTACCATTCAAACTGAATGCCGCCAACTAGGCGGGAAAATTGTTTGTTTGTTCGTTGGCAGACACAAAGTCGCATCGGTGTCATTTGTCGAGAATTTTGGTTTTAAGTAATGTATCACTTATATTATTGTTGAGTTTTAATAAAAACTACTAAAAGACATTATCGCCTCATACAGTCCACATTTCGACACAAACACAGATAGTGCAAAATATATGTTTATAATTCTACCATAATGTAATTTTTATATTTAGAAGTAAAATATCTACTCTATTTGAATATCTGAAATGAATAATATCTAAACTTCTGATACAAATTATGTATATTTATGCATATTGTAAATTTTATACGATTACTGAATTCTTAATGCACTTTATTATTTAACAGTTATGTAGCTAGAAGTACTAAATCTGCTAGTGCAGAGAAAAATTGCTGCCTTATTTGGGTAATTTCAAGAGAATATGCTGCTTGAAGCATGCTGGTTTCAACTCAACCCAATTTCTCATCCAGATTAGTGAATGAAGCCATGTAAGGGAACAGAAGAATTCATATACCAAAAAGGGATTTTTCAGTAAACTCTTCATTCACAAAAAAGAGATAATTTTGAAATGTCTATGTTTTGATTGAGGTAAAGCCTCATGCCCAGACACTCAAGTACTGTATCTTTTAATATAAGAAGTAAGAATGAATTAAATTGATAACATGAAACACATATTTGTCAATGAATCAACAAATACATTCTTCGAAAATGTTAATTCTCACTCAAACAGGTGTAAAAAACAGAGAACGTTTAGATGAGTAAAATTTAAGACCTATTGCCAATTTTGGCCAAAATTAAGGACTTCCTATATTAAAGAGCAAAAAATCGTTTAATAATTAATCGACTGTTAAATAAAAAATTCTACAGACATTTAAGGACCACTCAAAACTTGGGTAAACATATGTATAAAACAACTAAACAAAATTTTGATTTTTTTTTAAACGTTTGTCGACTATATACAACAATAATAACAATTTATCAACTATATATAACAACAATAATAACAATTTATCAACTACATGCAACAACAAAAATAATAAAATTTTGTCAACTTACTTGGTGAACACAAAAGGAATTAGATGACCAAAATGAAGAGCACTAGAGGAGGGCCCTCTACCAGTATAAAGAAAAAATGGCTTTTTCTGCTCATGCCTCTTCAGAATTTCATACATGTCCCTATAAACGATAACCACATAAGAAGTTCAGAAATCATTATATTTCAAAAACTTTAATGACTAATAACTCATTCCATAATTTCTAAGCTTTGTAAACTTTGAATAAAATGTTACACATATTAAAATAGAATGTTAGACATATCATTTTAAATGGAATGTTACATATATTACACTAAAATTTTACTCTGCTTTCATTTCATTTTATGGCAAATAAAGACTTGCAAACTATACATGTATTAGTATACATGTATGTTCTTTTGAAAAGACTCCATTACTACAAAACTTTCTAATGATGATTAATCATAGACTTTTGTCTCAAAATCTGCCTGCATATCAATTAAGGAATTTTTATGCTCTGCATTTCTTATTTTCACACAAGCATTATCCCCAACAGAATATTCTGAATTTCTTTATAATCATCTAATCTATCATCTAATAGCAAAAATTTCATTTTGTATTTTTATATACACACATTAAAAGAAAGAAACATGCAAGATGTAATTAAAATTCTTTCTATCTGCAATAAAATTTGGCCATGGTTAAAAAAATATGGCCCACTGAGTCCATATGGAGGAAACTTCTGAATGCCGTAATTTTGTTCTAGATTTGATTCCTAGAATAAACTGCACATGATTTTTCTATGTACTATATAAATATGAAAAGTTATTCCAAAACACCCACAAAGAAATATCGGGTTTTATGAAAGTTTCCCGCCACCGAAAAATCGTTAGCGCAAACAGTTCATGCTGCCGTATTTTATCATATTTTATGAAATGATTTTTGGCATTTGAAAGAAAGAGACTTGCTTTAAAACACTGTGTTGTGAAATCTGTAGAAAAATATCGTTAGTATTAAGTGCAAGGTGTCTGAAATCAAACTATCACACTACCAGATTAGAACCATCATTTCCTTCCAGTTCTGTTGTAAAAGTCAGCTACAGAATGTAACCAAACCATTTGTACAGCTTTAGGTACTAATGTTGTATCACATGGCACTGTGAAGGCTTGGAACCGGAAGTTCAAACACCAGGCCTGAGACATTAGAGAACCAGAGCACTCTGGACGGCCTACTGATGTTGAAAAAGCCTGTCTGCGAGAACTTATGGAAGATCAGAATGCAACCACTCAATAGCCTGCTAACTGCCATGTCCATTAGTTGTGCTATGCAATGCATAAACTTGATGTACAAGTTCATTTGCAGGGTGCCGCATGAGCTGACTCAAACAGATAAGGAAAGACTTGTTTGGGCCTGTACTAATCTGCTCAAATATCAACACAAGGACAAAATTCTGAACCAGATCATCACTTGTGACAAAAAATGGATTTACTTCAACAACACAGGGCAAAAAGGAGGTTGGTCTGAGCCTGGTGACCCCATCGGCAGCATGGCACTGCAAGATTTGATAAACAAAAAGATCATGCTTTGCATATGGTGGGATTACCGTGGTATTATCCACAAAGAGCATCTGGGAAGAGGTAAAACCCTTGACAGTACGGTGCACAGTGATATGCTACTTTGTGTTGACGCTGCTTTCAAGGAAAAACATCGAACTGAGTTCCGTCACAAAAAAGAAATGTTCCATCAAGGTAATGCAAGACCACATGTGTCTGCATTCTCTGGTTGGACTCTACGTGGACTCGAACAGGATCTTTTGCCACACCCACCATATAGCCCCAACATTATTTCTTCAGATTTCTACGTTTTTTCACACCTGAAGCTACATCTTTCTGGTGCTATCTTCCACTCTGCACATGATGTTCGAAATGAGGTTGATCTGATTTTGGACTCTTGGCCAACAAGTTTCTGGGCTGAAGGCTTTGAAAAACTACCGAGACGTTGGCAGAAAATGATACGCATACTACCCATACTAAAGGTACAGCTATCAAGTAGTTTTTTTTTTTTTTTTTTCCCGAATTTTAATAAGAATGTTTGTTGGAGCAAAACTTTTGTTACAACCAGGTATCCTGCATTTCTACCCTGTATTTAAGATTACACAGATGCCTCAGATACTGCAATTTCAATTTAAAATTTTGAAGTTATCATTTGAAAAAACTTTCTATATGCAAAATAATGGTACTTTCTGATTATCTGCACCTCCACTGAAAAGCCGGAAAAAGAAAGAAAAAAGCATTCATTGTGCAATACAATATGTCACCAAAGAATACAGGTTTGCATATAGCACATATATATTTTAGCCCATGTGCAATACCAAAGTTGTGCATGATGCTGAGTTTGTGAAATTCTCCCATTTTTCTTTATAGCAAAAACAAATCAGAGTGTGCAATAGCAGCTCAAAAAATTACAGAAAGACTTCTCGAAAAGGTAAGTATTTTATCATGGGATTATCTAACATGACCATAAGTCCCTGTTCCAATTTTTTACAACTCATTTTTTGGTTCTAAAAAATAATCATGTGAGAAAGTAAAAGTTTAAATGCATGTATTTTTTTAAATAGTGTAGATTGCAAAATGAGAATACTTGCACAAGTTAAGAGACACACATCATACTGGATGTATAAACAGAGGATTCCATATCTAGTACTATTTACCTTCGAAAAAATGTAATGAAGAAGTTCTATTTCTTATTCTAGTATTTCTCTCCCCATCCCCTCAACATACTCAGAATTTATACTCACAGCTCACAGTTCCAATTCAGACTTGCAGACAGCACTGCAATTTTAATTGATATATTAATTTGATTGTGATTTGAATTTATAATATATACATATGCTAATGTTTGTGAAAAATGCAACACCATAAAGTAATTATGGAAATGAATGAAATTTATTCCCCATGTTTTTTTACTGAGAGTTATACAAATAAATGATCAAATGTACAAGACACCCCCCCTCTCCAAAAAAAGGATCATCATCGGCAATCGGTACTTTGTGTGTCCGCCATGCTAAACAATGAGAGCCTGTACAAGTTATGGAATTGAATCATACAGGTTCTGAATGTAATCCTGGAAATGGATCAATCTATTTTCAGGAACTTTCTGTTAAAAACCAGGAAGCTAAAATGAAGTTAAAACTATCATAGTAACCAGTAGTTTCGCTAACATTATCAATATTAGGGTTCCTGAAAAACCTACTTCGAGCTGCGGGCTTCCATATTTGGGGAACAACCAATACCCCTTGGTGATTTTTTCAGAAAAAAAAAAAAAAAAAAAACCCAAGGGGTACCGTAGAACAAAGATTAGCTCCAAAAAATATACATAAATTACAAGAAGAGGGCCAAGTGTTACTATCTACATTTTATTCTACAGAACTAAACAGACAAGTTATTCCCAAGTACAATAAATAAATATCATATGGGAATTTAAGTGGCAAGCTTTAAACCATGCTTGAAAAAAAGAAAATAAACTCAAGCACAGAGCAGAGAATGTTCATTGACATTAGTTGCAGCCTGACAAATAGTACAGTCCTTCTATATTATTAAAACATTTTCTTTTGAGTTTCCAACATAGTACATAAGTAAAATTTCAATTCCTAATTTAGTCATAGTTTAATCTCTAAACTCTATTCCTCATATTTATTGCAGAATTATATAAATAAATTCAATTTTTGTATTATATTCAGTGCAAAGTACAATTTCAATGCTTTTCTATATAACATTTGTACATACACATACACAAGTGGGGGGGAAAGCAGAAAAAATGTCACTAGTGTTCATGGGTGAGCAAGAACATAAAATAAAGATTTCATCTAAGCAGGCAGGTTATAATGATCAAATGTTAAGTGAACTACAACTGAGACTATCTGCTCCTCTTGCTCTTTAATAGTGTTAAATTTCACACGGAAGTTATATTTACTAAAATATAATTTTTTAATTTCTTCAAATTTCTTTGTTATTTTAATTTATTAACTAAGTTTAGTAATCATGGGTTCTAAGTATGAAAGACATAGTAAATGATACACTGTGCTTGTCATTGTTAGTAACATAAAATATACTGAACTATCATTAATTAGAAATAGATAGGTTTATGAAAATATTACTACGTGAGGACACTGTTGTAGAACAGATAGCTGGAACTTTAACCTTCATGTTATAGACAGGCAGCTGGAAAAGTAACATTATGGATAAAAAGTACTTTTCTGTTATTCGGACTGCACTCAGAAAATGTGTTTGCATGTATGTATGTATGTGTGCATATAAATATGTATGTACGTATGTACATACATATGTGTGCAAATACACATTGGTTTCACATTTCTAGATCCGGTTTTGATAACAGAAAAGTACCAGATAAAATTCGCAATTTAGAAGACTTTTATCAAGGACATATAATAAGTGCTTGATATAAGAATTATTCAATTTCAGAAACAGTTTTAAAATTGAGGTTTTACCCATTCCATAGTATCAAAAGTATTGCGAGAGTGCACTGACAGCAGATGCTAGGCACTTTGCTGCCCAGTGCAATTTCTGCGAGTCCTATATTCTGCATCCCACGACTTCCCTAAATTCTAAAAATTTGCTGCCTTGTGCCTTCCCTAAATCTTGTTGCTTGATGCTCCTCTAAAAGTTCTAAAAACCTTCCCATCCCTAAATTTTGAAAAAAGGTGTGGTCACACCAGCTATGAGAACAGTACAAAAAGAATAATTGGGTACATTCCACAAGACATGCAGCTTTGAATGATCATTATCTTTGAAGATTCAGCCATTTTATACATAATTAGTGACATTAAATTTTAGCTTAGAATATCACTTAACAGAATAAAGGATCCATTCTAACAGGCAGCAGAAACACAGTTGCACTGTACAGGTTTCAGCAGTCAAATCAATGAGAGCACTATTTTTCTCTGCATACACCACGCTAAAAGTCTTGCAAAGTCCCAAAATACTATGATACTAATAATGTCCCATAATACTAACAATGACTGAATCACTGAGAACTGGAATTGAGTAGCACAGAGTAATGAATTTCAATTATGACATCATGCTAAGCTAAGAATATGGCACCAGCCTTATGACGCACTGGAACTACACAGGATTATGGCAGCAT